GGGAAAATCTTCTGGTGATTAGAAAACAAGTGACAAAAGGACTTTCCATTCATTGGGGGTAGAATCACTCATCTGAGTGATTTTAAGATTGAAGAGGAAGACTGTATCCTAAGGTGAACATATATCTCTCAGACTGGAGGAAAAATACACAGGTCTTCATTCAAAGTTCCCAGAAGGGCGGGAAATTTCATCTCTGAAACCTGATTCAGGTGTGAAACAGGCTGAGGAAGCTCAGCCTCATGAACAGCACTTTTCTTCTGTCAGCGTCTCAAGGAGAATCATGAAGACCTGTCTTTATGTCCTCTGTTGCCATATTCCTGTGGTTTAGGAGTCAAACTGTCTTCCCTGCTAAGATGCCTTCATCTGAGGCTCAGGTTTGGCTACCAGTGCCATGACAGAGGACAGGTTTCCCGGAGAGGAAACCATCTGGGACTACCTGACTTATGGATGCACTAAGGAGCCACCTGGCTACCCAGCAGCAGGCGATTTTTTTCCTTGATGCTTAAGTGCCTTTAGGAATTTTGACAGATCATATAGGACTTTTCTTGGTCTGGCCAAGAAACCATTATGTCACTTCAGCCTTGGAAGAGGGTTTGTTGAACTGGCAAGGGAATGCCAGCAGGAGGCAGTCCTCTTTGAAGTATTTCAGAGAGCAACTATTTAACTTTTCCTGAAGCACTTGGGGTGGGACTGAAATCAGTGAGGTATTGAGAGTTGTGGGGTCAACGTTTAATGCGACTGTGCTGATATCAACATTCTCTAGTGGGGATAAAATTAAAATTAAGACAAGGATTCAGATTTTGGATTATATGCCTCAGTCTACTGTTTTTCACTAATATCCCTATTAGCCATATAGGCAGAACAGTTATTTGGTTCAGGATGTAACCTATTCATTGCAGGACATTTAGAATCCCGTCGTCTCTGTCCTCTAAATGCTCCGTCAGCCACTGCTACCCCCACCGCCTCACCCATCTAAGTCACATCTATGATGCATGACAACTTGTATCACAGAGGTGATGACCACATGACCTATCCCTTGAGGACCAGGGCTGTGCTGGAGGTGGCTATATTCCAATAGTTTTTCTCTTCTTCCTAAAACATATGGCTTCTGACTTCAAGGTAAGCAATTGGCTGCCCAGTTAGAGGCTACATTTGTCAGCTACCTCTCAGCTTTGCACAGCTGTGGTCACACCAAAGTGATGTGTGTTCTTCCAGCAATGCTCCTAAAAGAGGAATGGATATGAGCTCTCCGGGCCTTTTCTCCTTTCCTGCTGGCAGGAGGGTGATAACTACAGTGGTCTCCTTGAGTCAGAGATGGAAGCCTGGTGTTGAGGATCACTAAGCCACCTCRGTGGGCCTCTGGTTTATTCTCTGAGAAAAAAATATATTTCCTGACTAAGCCACTGCATTTTGAGGTCTCTTGCTTTCATCAGTTTAGCTTCTATCTTAGTTAATTCTAAACCTTATTCTAATTTCCTAAGAAAAGCAAAGTCTTTGGGTTGAGGGGAGAAGGGAAACCCTGTTGTGAGGGTGCCGTTCCTCAACCTTGAAGGATAGCAAGAGTGGGGGCTTGACTGCCAGGTTAGCCTCTCAGTGGTAGTAGGTCCAGACTGTCTTTACCACAGTTCAGATGCACACAGGGCTCCCTGCAGAGGCTCAGGGAAGAAAAGAGGAATTCTGTACCTTTTCTGTTTAAGGTGGATGATCAATTACAATAGGCTTGACAGCATGAGGATAAGTCCATTTCATAGTGAGTCATCGAGATGGAGTCTGCTCACACTGGTGCCTAATGCTATTCCAGCAGGCATATGACTCCCAAATGGCTCAGCACCTGCTCTAAGGACATTGCCCTAGAGGCTGCTCTGATCATCTTAGAAAGAACAGGCCCCTCCCAACCTCAACTCCTGCTAGACCCATCCTTACCTAATAAGACACAGGCTTTAAGCTCTAGCCTTCAGAGAGGCTGACAAGTAATCCACATGTACTTCCTCTAAAGGAAGATCTTTGACATTTAAAAGGATCATTTTYATGGAAACATTCTCACCTGGGGGAAAGAGGGAAGGATCAATGTGGGATTAGGATGAGGGAGGGGCAGGGATGCCCTGCCCTATTGGCAATGGAGAGGGGCCCCAGGAGTAAAGAGGAGGGGGCTGGATCCTTGTACCTGCTTAGAGTTACTAGAAAGAGGCAGATTAAGAAAACCTGGTCAGGACAGGAAAAGACATGGATTAGGAAGTTAAGCCTGTTGGGAAAGAGCAGGTGAAGGACTGTCCCAGGTAAATGGGACATCCTCCCATTCTTGGAGGGTACTGTCCCAGGAGGAGGGAGCAGCATGATTACCTACTGATGTCTCCTGAAGCAGAACTGGCTTGATCTTGATAACCAGATTTTAAAGCCTAGTGAAGTCTGAGAGCTGTGAAAAAGAAAAGGGGAATTTGGAGTCCCACAGCTCCCAGTCCTCTTCACCAGCCTGGGGTCAGAGGACAGTAAGGGCTGCAACTTACCAGCAGGTGGGCAACGGGCAATGCCTTGCAAAGCCTTGAGGTTTTTAAAGTGCTGTGCAGTATGCATGCAGTTGCTTAGCACAACAGCCAAGAGTCTGCCCTTTCATCTTTGGAGAGATACAATCAGCAACCTGACAGAATTCTGGCAGAAGCAATTAACTCATGAATTAGTTATCAAATATCTCATGCAGCCAAGGTCTTGAGGGTGCTGATCTGCATACTTTCCCAGGAACTTGGGGACAAAAAGGAAGGCCACCTGCTTTAATTTGCATTAGGAACTTTAGCCAATATGTCCATTCCCTTCCATGCCCTCCTACCCTATACATACAACACCTCCTCCTCCACCATCACCCTGGACCCAGAGAAGTCTCTACCCTCACCTCCTCTGCCAGATCACCCTCTACCTTTGGCAGCTCATTCCTCACCAAYCCCTGCTGCCACCATACTGCTCTTCTTACTCTCTCTGCCTGGATGATTTTTATTCCAGATGTTTACACTTGCTGATTCCCCCACACTGGTTTGCTCTTTTATATTCCTCAGAGTGCCTGGCTCTCTCTCTTCAGATCTCCACTCAAGTGTCCTCTGATTATGAGGGAGGACTCGCCTCATCCCCTTCTTCCTGTGCACACTGGGAACACCCTTGTCCCTAACACTCATCCACACCTGTTATACAATATATTTGTTTGCTTGTTTCTTTACTGTCTGAGTCTCCACATTGAAATGAGTACTATAAGGGCAAGTACTTGCCCTGTTTTGATATTTTCCTGGTTGAATGTAGAATCTGTTAACTCAAAAGCCAAAGAAAAATAATGAAAACCTCAATCTCTAGCAAGTTGTCATGGTTTCTATATTCTAACAAATAAAGACAATTCTATCTTCAGATTGTTTACTCAGCAAGTATCTCTTGTCCCTCACATTTATTCAGCTGCCAAGCCATACAGGGTCTCCCCTGAAACTCCTTCCTTCCTTCTTCCCTCCTTCAATCAGTGAATGCCTACTGACTGCTCCCTTCCTAGGTCCCAGGTTGTTTCTCTTTGCTCTTCTCACTACTGCCCTTCCAGGTGAAGCCTCACGACTTTCTCCCTGGCCCRGTATAGAAACTTCCTAACACTCTCACTGCCTCTTTGCCCTCTCCTCAGTTCATCCTGCTGGATGCTGCCTGATGAACTTCACTCCCTTCCCTGCTCAAAATTCTACAGTAGCTCACTATTTCCTATTGCCTCAAGGAGAGACTACTTCTCCCAATTCTGATGGCCTGCCATAAAATCTCAATCTAACCATGAGCCCTGTCTTCTACTATTTCAGAATATATGCTCCAGCCAAACTGGCCCACTCTTTCTTTTTTGAATTTGCTCCCAACACTGAAAACAACACAAATCCTCTCTGCCCAAACTCTATCTTCTAATGCATTCTTAAATGCCACCCCAGTGCACTTTCTTACCCAATGTAGACACTCTCATTTATGAACTTCTATGACTCTATGTTTACACCTTTCTCTAAACATCTGTAGCCTTCCCTGAGTTGTACTTATCTGCAGAAGTTCCTTATCTTACCCAATAGAGAACTCTGGAGAGCAAGGATTGTAGCTCATTCATCTTACTTTCCCGAGTCACAGCTAAACTAGAATCTTGCTTAGTATACATGCTCTGTCACTATTTGTTGAACTGAATTTATTTTTTAAATTTTTTTTAATTTTTAATTTTATTTATTTTTTGGTGCTGGGGATTATCCAGGTCTTGAGCACACTAAACGTGCACTCTACCACTCCAGCCTCTGAACTGAATTTTTTTTAAATATTTATTTTTTTAGATGTAGATGGCACAACACAATATCTCTATTTTTATGTGGTGCTGAGGATCAAACCCGCGCCCGCCGGTGCTAGGCGAGCGCTCTACCACTGAGCCACAATCCCAGCCCCAATTTTTTTTAATTTTTAACTTTTTTAGTTGTAGATGGGCACAATATCTTTGTTTCATTATTTATTTATTTTTATGTGGTGCTGAGGATCGAACCCAGTGCTTCATGCATGCGAGGCAGGCACTCAACCACTGAGGTACAACCCCAGGCCTCTGAATTGAAATTTGACTCGCAGAATGTTGCACCATGCCAGGTGCTCAGGGGAATGTAGATGAATAGCATGTGGTGTTTACTTTATAGGAATTGACTAATTATGGAGATAAGATTGCCAACATAAAATTGAATTTTTTTTGTGTGTGGTGCCAAGGATCAAACCCAGTTCCTCATGTATGTTAAGCATGTGTTCATACCCCTGACCCCAAATTAAAATTTTTTATTCACTTTCACCAAGTAATTATTGAGTACCTACTGTATGTTACATATAATACAATACAGTATGGAATAGTCAAATTAGTGAGGCAGAAACCAAGAACAAATTGAGGAAGATTCTAGGTGTACACGTGCACCTGATTTAGCTATCCCCAACACTTCTTAAAAATCTAACTTTTGGTTGGATGAAGCAAGAGATGTTAGACGTACCCGGGGATGCTGCATGTTCCAAGTGGCCCAGCTGCGGCTGCCTGGTGATTCTGTAGATCAATTCTGCAGGCTCACTGTCCTGGTCAGTGGCTGAGAGCTGGAGAGTGGTGATTTTCTTCACTGAGTTTTCATCCAAGACCAGCCCTTTATTGTTTGTGATCACTGGTGGGGATTTGTCCTCTGAAAGTATCAGAGATAATGATTCAAAGTGAGATCTTTTCAGCCTCCTTTCTTCAGTTCTAGGCCTGCTAGCCAGGGTTAGGATCAAAGAGACCCTCAAGCCAGTCCCTCAGGGACCTCACCAGGGGGCCAAAGCTACACAACCATACAGGTGGTATGATTTTCAACTTTTATGCTGGCTAGGTGAAGGGAAGAATTCAAGATTCAAGGTGACCACAGTGTAAACTACGTAACTTCAGAACTGCTGAAGTATTTTTGCATTAGAAAATATTACACCTCCTTACCTAAAATACTGATGGAAAATGACTGGTCAGCCAATTTGTTGCCTTCTCCATCAACCACATCAAATTTAAAAGCAAAGTTCCCACCAGGTTCTCCTGTTCCATGACTGAATTCTATCTGCCCTATAAAAAGGAAAAAAAAAATCAAGATTTGTTATTAATGTTTTCTGCCCTTATTTCTGGAGCAAGAAGGGACCTCAATTGGTATTCACACCAATGAGTCACTTTGATATTACCTTTGACATTTGGTATTCACACCAATGAATCACTTTGATACCACCTTTGACATTTTAATCTCAAGTTTTCATTTCCTCCATTTGCCCTCCCACCAAGGATTTGCTCACACCCAAAGACATCCTCATAACAAATTCACTTCAAGTGACATTTCTTATGGCTGAAGCTTGGCTTCTTAAAATGACATTTCTATGGTTAAGGCCTAGCCTCTAAGGAGGTCTCACGACAGAACTGCCCAGTGTGCAAAATGTGCACCAACCACACCCACATCACTTGGAGTGGCCCTGCTATTTATCCCGATCCCAAGGCAAAAGGATGCTGCAGCTCCTTTTTCAGCGTTCTTCACTCTTCACTGAACCATACATGCAGTGATGTGACTCTAACCAGCAGAAAATAGAGAAGCACACAAATAAACTCCACACAGAGCTCAAAAGGATCCAAAGGGAGAACTATAAGGCATTGYATTTTTGTTAACCCACAGCATCATTTATGTGTTCCCATCAATGTAACTAAACCTCTGGGAAGAGGTGTCCTATCTCATTTTTTACCAGGAGACACAGAAGCATGGGATAATAAGTGAATTCCTATTCTTTGTCTCTTCCTCCCCTTTCACTGAAGCTCAGACAGATCTGATGAGAATTCAGGTACTATCAATTTCAGGTATTTGTGCCTGGGTGGGACCCTTGTTTCTGCTCTTCAGGGGCACATTTCTACCTCTAAAAGGAACTGCACATCATCACATGACTTTGGACAACTCCCCCGCCCAAGACTAACTTTTTCCCCTTTTACATCCCCTGAAAGCACTGTACAGTAACTACGTAGCATTTAACATTTATGCCTTCACATTACATCAGCATTTCCTGAAGGAGGGATGAGCCGTGTAATTTCCTCCAGGCAGCTCCGATTTATGCCCTTCTATTTTGCTTAGTTCATTAACTTGTGCTCTTTGGGGAGCTGAAAAGAGATATAAATTGCTCACCTAAGGAAGGCATAATTTTCACCTTAATCCATCCCAACTCACTTCTTTTTTCTTTTCCTCTCTCACACACACTTTTTAGCATCATAACAAGTCAAAATGACTTTTTTCTCCTCCATAATTGCCTTCAGTTTAATTAATGTTATGTCAAAGCATGCACATTTTTTTGCCAAGAAAGATAACTCTTCTTCTCCCTCTCTCTCTCTCTCTCTCTCTCTCTCTCTCTCTCTCTCTCTATCTCTCTCTGTTTTTTTCTTTTGGCAACAACAACAAAAAATGGAGACCAAAAGAAAAAAAAGAAGCTGTAACTCAGCTTTTATTCAAAACAAAGCAGGCAAGGTTTACTGCCTCAGGCTACCAGGCTTTAACTCCCACTTTCCTATTGTGGGTGGAGTCCAGGGAAGCCTGGGTAGGCAGAGAGAACTGGCTGACCTTGGTTAATGTCTGCCTGGGTGAAACTTCGGATGGGACCTTTCACAGAGACTTGCTCCAGGCTGTCATGCTTAACCTTCTGCAGGCGTCCTGCACCAGGATCTTCCTTCATGATGTACATAACCTGACGGTCATCTGAGTCAGTGTCTGTCACTTTCAGGTGCTGTTCTGTGATGCGGGCTACAGATCCTGAAAATGAATGGAAAAGAGGAGGTCATTCTCCATTGGTTCCTTCAAATGGCAAGTCAAATGATTTCAGGAGACTAGAGGCTAAATTATCATACATTTTTTTGGAGGCCTCTGCACCAGGTACTTTCCCTTCTCAGTTTCCAAATGAATAATTTAATTACCCTAAATGAAATAGTCTCTTGAACTTAGATCTGAGCTCCTTTGCTCTTCTTATCTATTTTTACTTTCCTGAGACTCATTCTACCCAGTGGCCTATCAGTTAGTACCTGGATCTATGTAATAACTCCTAGTTCTGTGATGCAAATAACCTTTAGATCTATGATGAAATCTGCTTGGATTTAATTGAGTTATTATTTTGAGGAAAAAAACCAGCTTCACATAAACTCATAAACATATCTGAGATGTTGTTGTCTCAGATGGAATTGTCAAAATCAGTGCTTCTGAATAAGAGGATAAACTGAGTATCAGGAGCCAGGTGACCTGCTGCACAGGTATCAGGGCTGGAGGCAAAGCACTCCCTACTGGAAAACACTTCTTCTCAAGGTCTTGCCCTTTTGCTTCCCTGTTCTGCCATTTTCTTATGTTTAAAATAGTAAATTCTAGAAAAGTAGATACTCGTCATTCATGTGTCATGATTCCTGGAGTTTGGAGCTGAAGTGCACCATAAGCCCTGAACATTGCTAATGATCTTACTGGATGACACCATCAATGCCCAGCCCTGACCACTTTACTCAGACCATCTCTCAGCAAGGAACCTTGAGGGATGAGGTACTATCTTCCTCTGGGACAAAGGTCAAACTTTCTTGCTATGATGTGGAAAGTTCTCCAAGCTCAAAGTTCCTCTCCAGTAATATACCACATTGCAAGTAAAGGCATCCATGTGGGCCATCTGCATCACCCCCATGGGGTAGAGGAATGCAGGGCAAACCTGCTGACATCCATGCTGCCTGTGGTACTTGAGGAACAAAGTACTTTGTTTCTGATGGAGGAATCTCGTGTCTTCTATCAGCATCCATGAAACAATAATAGGCTAGCTTGTAATAAGGGTAAAGTTGAATCCTAGACTTGATATGCAGGGCTTCTGGGAATGCTCAAAGTTTTAAATACTATCATACCATATGTTTTTCAATATAAACTACATGTGAAACTAAGAATAGACAACACAATCCTACCATGATGCAGAAAGGCTAGCAAAAGGCTCACTCCCTCGTTTCTTAATTTTCTACTGCAGAGTCTAAGACTAATAATAGTTGCAGGTCCTTCAGTGTTGCTAACACATGGCAAAACTGTGAAAGTTAGATACTAGAAATCATATTGAATAATTCTCTATTATTTTCATAGTCCATTTTAATATATGATCCCTCCTCCCCCAAACTATCCCTCCATGACTTTTTTTAAAAAATAAGCATTCTGAAATTTGCTAGATATCTTTTGCTATTGCTTTCCATGGAGTTGGCTGAACAGAAGTAACACTACAGGAAACCTGGGCCTGGGAGTAGTTGGATAAATTAAGATTTTTTGAGGACACTGAAAATACTATAAATTCTTTGCAAATTTTCCTTAAATTTACAGAGACATCTGGTCCAAGGAATTTCAGAGGCTCACATCTATCATACATAATTCTCAGTATCCCTAAAACAACAGGTTCTCCAAAATGCTAGTCTCCCCAAGTATTGAATAGCTAGTTTCAGATCCACCCACAGCACCAACTTGAAAAGAGGTACTGGATACTGGCCAAAAAAGAAATGAGGATAGAAGAAGCAAGGCCATCTCTCCTCTTCTTCTGTGGTACCTGCTGAGAGCTGTAGGCCTCGGTTCACAGCCAATCGGGGAGTATCACTTGTGGGCAGTTCTATGTAGACCTCCATCCTCCCTGTGTCCACATGGAGGCCATCAGTGAGCGAGAAACGGAACTCATCCACCGCTATACCAGAGTTACTAGGCATGTACCCAATCAGCCCAGCCAGGACATCCTGGTAGGTGAAGGAGGAACCATGGGCTAAAACTGTCCCATTCTCTAGAGGCTCAGAAGCAATAAGTCTCCGGAGTAGATGACCTGAGGAAGGAAATTTAAAAAAAAGACAAAGAAGCAATGGTTGAATATATATGGTACCAAGCTGTGCATGGTGGTGCGTGCCTCTAATCCCAGCAGCTCAGGAGGCTGAGGCAGGAGGATTGCGAGTTCAAAGCCAGCAAAATCGAGGCACTAAGCAACTCAGTGAGATCCTGTCTCTAAATAAAATACAAAAAATAGGGCCCGGGATGTGACTCAGTGGTTCAGGGGCCCTAAGTTCAATTCCCAGTACGAAGGAAGGGAGGAAGGGAGGGAGGGAGGGAAGGAAGGAAGGAAGGAAGGAAGGAAGGAAGGAAGGAAGGAAGGAAGGAAGGAAGGAAGAATATATATGGCACCAAAACATTTTCCACTTATGCCAACCAGTATGAGCCTGGATAGAATACCAGGCCCCTCAGACACTCTTGGTGGCAACAACTTAGCATTTTACAAGTAAGCACAGGCTGACCTCTGGCCTCATCTATAAAGACAAAGTTGCTCTTTTCCTGGTTTAAAAAAATCTCTTAAAGAGACACAAATGGATGGTGCAATATAGCAGCTTAGGAATCACATCTCCCTCCTGAATTCAAACTCACTTCGTTATCTAAACTTTATTTTTCCCTTCTGCAAAGTGAAAATAGCTGTCTTCACTCCCTGTCTTTCTATTAGGGCATGTGGAACGAGAGATGGGAATATGTTTTAAATTCCTCTTAAATTCAGAAAGACACTAAGCATCTTTATATTGAGGCTTATTTTTCTGTTTTCAAGGGTCATGTACCCTAATGGGACAGTTAAAGTGCTTTATTAGTGAAAGTGACAGTGAATGAAAGCAAGCTAAAATGCAAAGGCCAACAGCCTCTTCTGTTAATCTCCCATCAACAGCAACAATTTCATCTTTGAAAGGCCAGTAGGTGTTACATAGATTGAGACACACCACTCCGGCTCCAGATCTTTTGCTAATACCTGGGTGATGGAGCTCAGAAATAGGTGAGTAGAAGATCCCCACAGTACTTTCTCTACCTAGTTTAAATCAGGAAAAGTGCTCTCTCTGGAAAGGGAAGAAGCTCATAGAGAAATCTAGCATGCTAAGAAGCTACCAGAGGTGGCTTGAGATTATCTACCTGTGCCTGCTCTGAAAGAGGAGATGCAAATGTTGAAAGCTGTTCTGCTTGAAGTTACAAAGGAAAGCAAGAAAACAGCTGAAATTAAATGTCAGAGATACCAATTACCTAGGATTCAGGCTTTTTAAACAATCAACGTCTACCCTGACTCCAAAGAATATTAGTTAGCTGTGAATCTGATTATACTTTATGCAAATAATGGACTATATATAGTAAAGGCAAAGAAATAACCACCTGAAATCTATGTGCTTATTTTAATAACCCATCAGGCACCTCAATTAAGAAGCTTTCTACAGCAGTTTGTGTCCTACCATGGTCGGGCTTTTTTGTCAATACAAAAATCAGCTCATTATCTGGGGTGTCCAGGTCTTGCAGGCTCAGAGAAGAATTGCTTATCACCACTCCAGAGCTCAGCCGTACTCCAAGGGGCCGCAAGGTCATCCTGGGAGGCTCATCGTTCTTCCTCTGATTAAAGCATAAAATATTCAGTCTCACACAGACATTGGTTTCAGAAGAAAGTAAAAGCACATTATTCAGAGAAAGTATCACTGTTGCAGAAACTTTCACTATTAAAATAGCATTTAAAGTGTTACCATCTTCACCTCCTAATCAAAATGATTAGTTTGAAGAGACAAAAGAGAAAGCCACATAAACAACATGTCCCTTCGAAAAGAAGCATTCTACAAAAAAACTTCCAAAATATTTCCCATAGTTATAATAAGCATTTCTTCTAGATCAAAACTATGGTCATGTTTTGAGAAGCACAAATATATTGGGGGGATCAAGAGATTTACTATTCAAATCATTACTATTTGAACTCAGAATCATGTTTAAAAACTCTAAGCACAACACAGTAGCCATAGAAAGACACCATATTTGACTGTGACTTTCTCATGCTATTTCTCAACCCCCATCCACCACTGTCCCTTAAGATTCTAAAGGTGTCATTGGGTTTAAATTCCCAAGGCACAGGGTAATCCATTCAGATTTATCTTTTCTCTCTGTTCCTGGGGTGGTAGGACAAGACTGTAGTTGCTCAAATGAAAACATGAATACAGAATCCAGGATCATGTTTCTTTGATGTTGCAATGGAAAGAATAAATGCATTAAAATATAAGAAAAGGCAAATGTGCATGCAGAATCAAACACATATGAAGGCCTATATTTCACAGAAAATGAGGCATATGTTGGTTTTCATCTAAAGTGGGACTGACAAGGCTTTTCTGACTCTCACAAACTGTTTTCACACAGGACGAATAAATTTTATCCTGAAATAGAAATTCAGATTTTCAACTCAGACCTTCCCTAAATGCCAACCTTAATTCCATAAGCTTGCTGAAGGTCAGGGTTATGTTTTAAAATTCAAAGTCAAATCCAATCTTTTGCTTTTGAGTCCATCAAAAGAAATCTAGTGGTAAGATACTGGGTGGACAAAGCCTCGACTTTTCCAAATTCCGAAGTTGTTACCTCAATGGTGATGTTGATGCTGTGAATTTCCGAGCGACTGGCTCCATCACTCACATAAAAACTAAAAATGTCATGTGTTGGCTCGATGCTTTCATGAACACTCTGAAAGTAGTAAATGTAGTTTTCTAGGATATCTTGAATAGGGAATGATGCCTCTAGGTCACTGGTAGCTCCGGGGCCAAAACGATCACCTGCATCAACATCAAGAGAAGACTTTCACCTTGATTCATTGATTGCTGATTACTAGACTCAACTAGAAAATGAGACGTTCTTTTCAACACAAGATGAAAACATGCTTGAGGACAAAGCTAGGAGAGTGGGCAAACACAAGACCAGGAATTAGGAGGCTTGGGATGATCCCCGTTTCTCTATTTCTCATCTATAAATAGATATACCTGTCCTGCTGACTCCACAGGTAACCAAATGAGATGATATATGTGAAAGCACTCAAGAGTGTTTTCATTTTATATAGCACAGAATCAGTGGTCATTTTGTTAGGAATCTTTCATGCGTCTTGCGTTATGTAACAATATAATAGCCAAGGTTCTACCTTAAACCCTAGCCCATTTCAAAACCACTCTATCTGGTTTATCCTGCAAGAAGAACATTCTCTCTCTCTCTCTCTCTCTCTCTCTCTCTCTCTCTCGAGATATATATATATATACACACACACACACACACACACACACACACATACATACAGTTAACTATATTTAACTTTTTTATTCAAGGCACCTCTGACCTCTTCGTTTCTTAATGAAACCTTTGCATGCTAGATCCCAACCTGTGGGAGAATATACCAGTACTACTGTGATGCTCAGGTTATGTATCATGACATTCAGGTACAATTCAGGCACCGAGATGCTTGGTCCCATTCAGAGCTCAGATGCTGCTATGGTTTGGATAAACATTTACAAAAGGGTCATGTATTAAAGACTTGGTTCCCAGACTGTGCTACTGGAGGTGGCGGAGGCTTTAAGAGATGGAGCCTAGTGAGTGGTTTCCCATCACTGAGGGAGTACTCTAGAAGGGGAATTGGCATCCCAGCCCCATCCTCTCTCTCTCTTTTGCATCCCAGCCATGAGATGAGCAGCTTTGCTCCAACACATGCTCCCAGCCATGATGCAATGCTTCACAACAGACCCCAGAACAAAGGGACTAAGTGACCATGAATCAAAATAAACCTTGTCTTTCTTGATTTATCTCAGATGTTCTTACAGCAATGGAAAGCTGACTGACATAGATGCTATTCGGGTGTTGAGATGCCCGGTTACCATTCAGAACTCCACAGAAAGTGCTAGCTCCAGTTTCCTCTTCTTCTCATCCCAACCCAAACATGTTAAAAGGCCAAATGGAAGAATAAGAAATGTCTAAATGATGGATATCTTGTCTTTTACTTGACCATAACCCGAGCCCATCTAATTGATTGATTTTAAATTGTTACCACAATTTTCTTCTAGAGACAGGAGAAAAAAGAAACCCTTGTGACTTCAAACAATTTCCTGGATATATATCAACAAAGAAAAGTGTAGTTGGCAGATGTGAAAGCAGGAAAGCTTTTCCTTCCCTTCTCCATGATTCTTTGCAAATATCAGATCACAAATTAAAAGGCCATTAACTTCCTGAATTATAGGCAGTGCCATCTTCATTGGCATCTGGACAAAAAGACTAGAATGAAAAGTTTTTATAAAAATGATTTGAAAGAAGAACTTGAGACATTTTTCCCTTCAATATGTGAATTTTATTTACCCTTCCAACTGATTTATCAGAAAAATAGAGAGATCTAAGTGACCAGTGACTAGGACATACAGTTCAGGATTCCCAGAGAGAACTGCTAAAATAGCTTCCAATTTTTACTTTCTCTTTCCATTGATCACTATAAATAGAGAAAATGTATCTTCTTTATTCAGGTCAAAAATAGCTAAGTAAAGCAAATGATGCTTCATAAATATACACACATCTAATAAAGCCATATTTTTAATAATTGGAGAACTAACTATGTAACAGGTGAATAGGTTGCTGAAGCTTTAGCACCAATCCTTACACTTTTAAAAYGGCACTATTTTTTTTGACATAAATAATTCTTATCAATGTGCTTCCCTGCCTTCTCAAACAGAATCTGCTATGTGCAAATTAAATAGTTATTGATGCATTCAGGCTATCATTACGGACACCTACTAATGCAGAGGTACTGAGGTGAGTCCTGTCCTGTTTGTGGCAGTACTAAGGGAACATGCTGTTAAATTTCATACCTAATGTGACAGTCATTCTGTCTCTCCCCTTCTTTTTGGTAAGAAGTCAAAGCTCCTTCTTCTAACAGTTTTTTAAAATATATTCTTCTGATCAGCTGGGTTCTGAATTTAGATAACTAGTTATAAATATATATATTTATATGTGTGTGTGTGTGTGTGTGTGTGAGAGAGAGAGAGAGAGAGAGAGAGAGAGAGAAAGAGAGAGACTCAATTCCAAACAGAGGCAAAAGTCCCCCCACCCCCATGAAACAAAGGGAAGGGTCCTTAGCTGATATAACCTGGGATGACGATTTTGCTCCCCTGAATGCCTTTTTTCCTTAATTTCAGGTTCATACCCATGAAACTGCAGAGAAGTGCTTCTCCTCTAAGTATGTCCCCTGGGCCAGCAGCCATGACATCACCTCTTAGCTAGAGAAAAATGCAAATTCACAGGCTACACCAATACCCTACAATAGGACCTTTGAGGTTGTTGCCCTCCAGGTGAGGGAGGTACTTTCTAAAGAGGATGAGTCTTGTTAGAATTTTAACTTTTGGGCCAGTGAGCTACTTACCCCTCTACATAGCATGCTTATGCTCCATCATGTGTTCCAGATAAATGTAAAACAGTGTTACAAAGGCTTCATAAGAAAAAAAAAACACACATGACTGGGGTGGGGGCAACATCCCTTCATGATTTCCCACTATGTGCATGCTCTTTCCATTGCAAGAAATGCCATTGTCCTTCTGCCCATAGTGACTCCCATGAATCCTTTATGTTCCAGCTCAGATGCCACTTCCTCTGACTTTACTAGCTTCCAAGGCAAAAGCAACTGCTTTGTTTAACATATTCTCTTAGAGCTTTGCTCCTTTCCCTAGCAGGCATTTGTCATTTATCATAATTGATCAATCTTCGTACCTGTCTCCCTTTCAAGGCAGGGTCTATGTTATTTAGCTGTACATCCCCATCGTATCTAACACAAACATTTGTTAAAACAAACCTAATTCAGCGATAAGCAAATCTGAGTGCACACACTGAAAGGCAAGACAGGGAAGAGTTCCAAGAGTTCGGATAGGAAAACATGACTAATTTAAATGAGTTTCCAGTCTCCAGGCTCAAATCCCAGGCACCATGCTGACCACAGACACCTGCAGTCAGTGGTCTCTCTGTGGGAGCTACTAGCTACATGTCAATTAGAGCCAAGCACCAGTGCTCAGGAATCTCATTGCTGAGGCAGCCATACAGCAACCTGCCATGAGCTGTCTCAACTGCCAGTCATGGTAGGTCTCAGGGGGCTTATGGACAGTACATGTCTTTTTGCTTCTCCTTCTCTGTGATTAACACTAGTGGGTCCAAGGGCAGATGGTGGAGCAGGAGGGATGTTGAAGAGGGTCAGAGATAGACAGCATGCATTTCAATTCATGTCATAGCCATAGGAAAAGATGCTACATACACTATGGTCAGCTAAACTGCAGCTGCCTCACAATAAAGAGAGAAATTTTTTTCTCTTTGACAACTTAGTTCTGAAAGTTATCCAAAAGACCCTCTGCCCTCATGGCTAGCATTCCAAATTCCTCTGCCTGACCTATATTATCCACAGCATTTTCACCTTCTAACATCTTACTCAATTTTCTCATAATTATTATTATTTTGTCTTCCTCCACTAGAATCTAAAGCACTTTGAAGGTAAGGGTTTTCTTTTGTTTTGTTTACTGGTGTTTCCCTAATGCTTTAAAATGCACTGTCCACAGAAAATGCTTGGTAAATTTTTGTTGAATGAATGAAACCTTCCATCCTTTCATCTCATTGAAATGTTTCCATTTCTCGTTAGTTCTCCATCACCAGGTTGAATGGGACTACAAGTTCTCCCTCCACACGCCTTTCTTTCCAGATCTTGAACAAAGATCTACAGCAAAGCTACTACTATTACCTGTTCCTCTGTTCTCAATGCAGCCATATTTGGGCAACGAGCTTAGCTTAATGATGGCATCTCCCTGGAGGTTCTCATGATCATCAGTTGCAAAGAAATGGTGAAAGGAGAGTGGGGCTCTCCCTCCCTCATCAACCTAAGGAAGAGAGAATGCAGAGTCCTTGGACAGTTGCACATAACTGCAATAAAAAAAGAACTGAATTGAAAAGTGCTGCCTGGGGTGACCTTCCAGCACCAATTCCACTTCTGAGAGGAGGCAGATCCTCTACAGACGAGATGAGGAATGTGCATGCTGCTGAAGCCAGGCAATCTTTCAGCACCTTTCAAAGATACACTCAGACACGATGACTTCCACGACTCCCTTCAAAGTTGCACTTCATTCAATGATGGATCTGGTTATAAAGCAGCTCTGGCCCATTCCAATCACCCTCCCCAGTGCAGCTGCACAACAGGATGGCTGCCTTCTTACAGCATCAACATTCAAAAGTCCACAGCCAGAGAATGATAGATCCAGTCCTCCCCGGGGCTCCATGAGGGTGACTGTCCTATAGGTGTTACCATCCAGAATAAAAGTGCCATTTATTTCCTTACATTGTATATTTATAGGTGTGTGGGAAGAAAGGGTTCATCATATCTGAAAGCTAATGCTTATCTTAATGTCAAGAAAGAAAATAAATCAGTATAAGTATAAGCAGTTGCTCAAACTACTTTTTTCCTTTAGGGCTCTGTTTTATATGCTAACTCTGCAACATAAGCCTGGTGCTTTTTGCTGACCTACTGGAAACGGTCAAGCCATTCCACTTTGAACAACTCTTGGCTAACTGTAGGAAGATCTATAAATTGAAATGTGGGACTCAGGGAAGAGAGAGRGTCCAAGCGGTTTCCCCAAGGTGTGGAAAATGGAAAAATGAGAAGACTATCAAAACCATCTAGAAACCATTCAGAGTCTTGTGAATTTTCAGTTGCTTGACAAAACTAGAAAAACTCCCAAGCTTTTAACATTGTGATAGGTACTTAAAGTGGAAAGAGGAAAACAAATTTACTTTCATAAAAGCCCTACCATGCACCAACCAGGTCTGTGCTAAGGGTGATCCATACTATCTTATTAATTATCAGAGAAATATTTTTGTGTATATGTGCATAATACTGGAGATTGAACCCAGGGGTGCTCTACTATTGAGCTACACCCCCAGCCTTTTTAATCTTTATTTTTGAGTCAGAGTCTCACTAAGTTGCCAGGCTAACCTCAAACTGTGATCTTTTTGCCTCAGTCTCCCAAGTTGCTGGAATTACAGGTGTGCCCCATGGTGCCCAGCCAGAAGAGTAATATTTTAAAGATGAAGAAACTGAGGCTAAGAACGATTAAGTACTAGGTCCAACATCACTCCGCTAGTAAGTAACAGAGCTGGTACTTGAACTTATGTTTGGATAACTGGATAATGTCAGTGATGAAGGCTCATTATATTGCCCCTCTTCCTTCAAGGATCTGTTAATATTGTTTATAGTGATAAATATTCGCTAGATCTAAGGAGTGACTGGAGGTACTGTCTGTGTTTTAGTTACTACCAACGTTAGATTGCAAACTCCTCTAAGATGCATTCTACTTCAATTTTACTCCCAATTATAACAATATTGARCACATAAACATTTGTTGACTGACTTGTGAATAGAATGATTTGAACTTTTGGATATAATTWTTTTTATACTTTTTGAAAAACTCATGATTGAAAACCATGCATTTCTTGACATCGCTGCCTAGATATCTGGGGGAAAAACATGGCAACCTACTCAGGCAGAAAGCCTCTATTTACATCACCCAGGACTCCAGCTCCCCACAGCATTCACTGCTCATTGATCTGAGAACTGTTTACCGTGATGAGGTCGGCGAAAGCGATGACTGGAGGTGGACTCTTGGCAGGAGTGATTGTGACGGTAAATATCTGATTGTCCAGACGGTTGTGGTCCATGTCAGAGACAGAGAAGTGGAAGCTGTCAGTAACCACATGACCATCTGTCTCAAATACAGCTGAGTATCTACAAAGGCCAAAAGAAGACTCCAAAGAATGAGCCATAATGACAAGCTGGGGAAGTTGAATTTTGTTATTAAAACGGGGCCAGAAACAATGTATTGTTTGAAGAAATTACAGACAGTAGCTTAAATATTTTAATACAATTAATAAATACTCTTCTTTTTTCCCCTGCAGTTCTGTGGATCAAACCCACTACCTCCAGATGCTAGGCAAGAACTCTACCACTGAGTGACATCCCCAGCTAGTTTAATGCAATCTTTAAAAATACAAATAAACAAAGTGGTTACCTAATGTTCTTGTTGTTGATGTCCTCCATGGTGAAATTGGAAACCTCTGAGAGTTCCTCCACCTCAGATCCTGAGGTCCTTAAGAGAGCACCATACATGGGCAGAGAACTTAACTGAATCCAGATCTCTGAGTCGGGGGAAGAATCATCCTAATCAGGCAAATATGAGTCAGGACATGAAGGCACATTTGTAGGAACCAATACTTCAGCAGTTAAAGATCTGTAGGCACTTCCTTCTCTGCTAATGGTAAAAGTCTCTTTCCCTTTGTCATAAAGCAACACCATTTCTAACCTTAGCATTTACTGCTCCTAAACTGCCTCTCTGATAATGCCTTCTTCCAAGAGTCTCTCAAAATAACAGTGGAGGAAGTGCACTTTAGGTATGGACCCACTTTACCATTACCACAAGGGCCACGCAAAGTTTTTGTTGTGATTACGAGTATCTAGTGAAGAACGAAACATGATCAGCTATAAGTCATTATCTGTAAACACAGGTATAGGTTGCTTCTCTAGTTTTTAAGTTCAGTTTGTATTTTGGAAACAGGTAAAATTCCAATAATATTTTTCTTTTTTAAACTTTTTTTTCCTCACTGGAGAGTAAAGAGAGGTGTGCTTTACCACTGAGCTATGTCCCTAAACCCTTATAAAKTTTTATTGACATAGGTTCTCAGTAAGTTGCTCAGGTCTCGCCACATTGTACAGGCAGGCCTCAAACTTGGAATCCTCCTGCCTCAGCCTGTGAGTTGCTAGAATTATAGGTGTGCACCTCCATGCCTGGAGTAACATTCTATTGTAACATAGAATACAGTGTACAATGACAAAAGTCTGTGGTACAGGAAGAACAGAAAGTCTTTAGCTTAGTTAATGACTCACTTTAATATTCAACATGGTAAGATGCTGGATTAAGGAAAGCATTTTAGTCTTGCAGATTTCATTCTATTAGAAGTGAATCTGTGGGTGCTCACCCCCCAAGGGGTGCATTGTTGATTGAGAAATAAAACTTTCTTTTTATTGAGAAATAAAACACACAATTGTATGCATACAATTGTATGTATACATTGGTGTATACATACAATGGAATATACATAAGTATTTCATTGTATGTATACACCACATTTTCTTTATCTATTCATCGTTGAAGGGCACCTAGGTTGGTTCTATAGTTGGTTCTATACCATTAAGAATTGAGCTGCTATAAACATTGATGTGGCTGTGTCACTGTAGTATGCTGATTTAAAATCCTTTGGGTATATACCGAGGAATGGGATAACTGGGTCAAAGGGTGGTTCTATTCCAAATTTAATAAMTGAATATCTTAATGAACAGCTTCCACTTTCTTAAAGAATATTTTTGGAAATATCTTGGTGGTAGGCAACATCTTCTTGGAAAGTTTCCCTGAATCATTTGTCTTTTAGAGCAGTTAATTGTGAAWATGGGGGAAATTTACACTTTATCAGGATAGTAATAAAAACAAACATTGCATAGTCAGTTTTACTTTCAAATACAAATTCTCACATTTATATTGCCCATTAAGTGAGGGATGGGATAAGGATTGTGAGCACAGACACCTGGTRGTCCAGAGATAGGGTATTTGAGTTCAGTCTCATTTCCATCCCTAGTGGCTCAGAGCCTCAATGCAACATCACAGATTTTCCTTATCCATTGACACTAGCAAGAAAGGAAACTAAAATTTATCAAAGCTGAAAAACTTCAGAAAATCTCCTCTAAATTTACACTTTTTCAAAGTATCTTTATTTCCCCACATGAGTTATCAAATAGACTATGTTGGTTTCCAAAGGACTACTTCCTAATATTACTGTGAATTCATTCTGAGAGACAATTTTTAAAAGCCACCTGAGAGTTTTAAGGTATTGTCTTCTGAGATGGTGATGAACTACTATAAAGGCAGAGCTCCTGGCTCTTGATTAGAATGAATAGCTTCTAAATCCCACTTTGGCAAATTGGCAAAGAAATGCTTATTTCATATCAGGCTCTCTTATTATGTTTCAATTCTCAAATGATTGCTGGGTTTGAAAGAATTAGAAATCTGCTAGATTTTTTTCACTGTTGTAGGATATCCAAGATACCATGGATGCACCAAAATGCTTAAGAATATAAATCTTGTTCTCAAAGACCTTCCTCTCGTTCTCATTTTCTTTTTATTATTTCCACATCCATGAACCCACCATTCAACAAGAGGATTAGAACTTGATAACGTTTGCTTATGAGCTCTTTATTTATCCTGTTCTGGGGCCTTCCATCACCCTGAAACTTGTTTCTCATTTTCTTGAATTTCTTAATGTAGTTTAATATATGAATATAAAATGTATTTTAGTTTTTTTTAACTTGTAAAAATAGAGTTGGCTTCAACTCTGATGGGGTTTATTTTTCTTTTTATTCACTAGTAGACTGCTAAGATCCATCCATACTTTATGTGTAATGTAACCTGTAATTCATCTGATTTGAGGCTCACTAGTATTCATCAAGTAAGTATATCATAAGTTATGCTATCCTGTGGATGGGCATTTGACTTGTTTCAATAGTTTTGCTATTGAACATTGTTCATTGCTATGTACATTATTGCACAAGTCCTTTGGTGTATATATGAAAGTTTCTCTTGGGTAAGAATCCAGGAGTTAAATGGTTAGGCAAATAATTAGTCATCCACCAAGGCAATGCCAAATTCTGGTGTTCAGTTTATACACCCACTAGTAAGGAACCTCTTCTAGATCCATTTCCCCTCCAATACTTGATATAAAGTGATMTGGACTTAACATGCTTTCCCTGGTCACTAATAAAAATGAATATTTCTTCACATGTGTGTTGACCAGATAGTTTCTGTGTCTGTGAAATTCCTATTCATGTCTCTTTCTCATGTTTTGTTGGGATCTCTCTTTCTTCTGGATCTGTAAGAATTCTTTATAGAGTCTTTATTATTTTGGTTATATATATTGCAGATATCTTTTTCCAATTTATGACTTTCCTGTTTTCTGGTCTGTTTCAGTGAATATATCTAATTTTAATATAATCATATTTATCAAGCTTTCCTGAGTTAGCTCTTTTTTGTTTCTACTTTGAGAGATTCTTTCCCTTCCCAATATCATAAAAATATAGACCTATATTCCACAAAGAATTGTAAAAAGTTTACTTATGACATTTAAATTTTGATCTGTCTGAAGTCAATATCTGTTGAGGTGTAAGGTGTGGTGCAAATTCCTCTGTTGCCATCTGAGTCATGATTTTGTACAGCTCCGTGAGACAAGTGGTTCTTCTGCTTCCACCWATCTGGCTGACTATCTGTTTTATATTAGATTTATTATTTAGTTTATATTATATGTGGGTCTATTTCTTGACTTTCTAATATATTTCTGTGCTACACTGCTTTAAAGACTGTAGGTTTATAATAAATCTTGGTATATAGTAGGATAAGTCATTCTGCCCACCTAACATTCTTTTTCAGAATTTTGGCCCTTTGTTCTTTCTTATATATTTCAAAACTAGCTTATCCTTTGGGTTTCTGATTGTAAATAAAATGAATTGAGAGGTCCCTTTGTGAGATAATTGGTATCTTTTTTATATATTAAATATTCTTATTCATGAACATGGCATATATCTTCATTTATTTAATGCTTTGGAACTATCTTTCAATTAAGTGCTTTGAGTTTCCTTGTAAAGTACTACTTAGTTTTTGTTAAGATTTAATCCAAGGAACATGACTTTTTAAATGCTATTTTAAGTAGTTTCATCTTTTTAGTTACATTTAGTAGAACTTTTTTTTTTTCTTATATATAGCAATGCTATTGCTGTTCATTGATCTCCTATCTGGCCTCTTGGTAAATTTTCCTTTTATTTTTCATTCTTTATCAGAAGAGTCTTCTGGATTTTTCCATATAGCCAGTCATAGCACCAACCTTCTCCAGAAATTACACATCTTTAGTTAACATTTATTCCTAGATACTTGATATACTATTATAAAATGATATCATGTTTTATTTTTGGTTGGTACATTGAAATGCTATTAGATTTTCAAGACTGATCTTACACCTCACAGTATAGATGAGAAAACTGAGTTTTTAAAGTTGCTTAAACACCTTGCCAAGGGTCACTGCATTAGTAAGTGGGAGCTTGAATTAAAACCCATCAACCATGACTCCAGAACCCATGCTATCCCTCCTCTATTTGTTCACTTGAGGTACACAGTAAATTGTGTCTATTAAGCAACGGTTAAACACATCACAGAGGACCCTATTTTTGCCTCTTATCTCCTCTAACATCACATCACTCTGTTGTAGTTGCTGATACTCTAATTAAGAAGTCTCACTTGCTCTGGGCTCTTTATACTCTGCCCAATTCATGACTAGACAAGCATTTCAGATGGCTTCTTAAACCTTCTGGATGTTCCCTGAAAGCTTAATAACTAACATTTCTGGAAWTTTTTTTTTCCATAACACTAACTGAAAACTTCTTCTACAGCCCTCAGAGAAAAGTTCATATATAACCTAGCTAAGTCTTTAAGAATGTATGCTATGCCTTCAGCAGGCTAGAACAGATCTTTTAGAGTGTTTCTGCTCTGATGGGTAAATTCAAATTCAATCAATTTTTGAAAATATGTGTTCAGTTGCCAATGGCTTGCATTTTGATATGCAGCTAATAATATGCAGCTAATGGGCAGGAACTGTTCCTGAAGTCCTATTTTTTGTCTGTCAAACATTTTTCAAGCCTTCATGATCTATTGATTAAATCCAAATTCATGCATTTTTATGAATTCATGAGTTTCACAGGATTCAAAAGACCATAACCAATGATAAAAATCACCTGTCAGTTAAAAAAAAAAAAAAAGCTGTTCTGAAACTGTAGTAGACTCACAAGAAGAATCAGGGTAGAAAGCAGTTTCTCATCATTTAAAAAATATGACAGTTTAAAGGGAAAATCTGCAAAACCAATTGTTCCCAGGTCAATGGTTTACCTAACATGCTGGGGTTTTTTTGTTTTTTTAAGTTTTTGTTTTGAGACAGGATCTTACTGAGTTGCTGAGGCTGGCCTCAAACTTGCAATCCTGCCTCAGCCTCCCTGTTTCTGGGATTATAGGCATGTGCCACAGCACCTGGACAGGGCTAGATTTTTATGGTGAGATTCTTCAGCCCAGAAAAAGATTACTTAAAATTATAGAGTGTTTAAAAAGAGGGGGGAAAAAAGTCCAGGCTATTCACTGGAATTTTAAGATTATTAAAGGAAAAATTCAATGCTAACAATGATTACCAGATAATTATTCTTCCTTTCAAGGCACTATAAAGACTATTCATTATTATGTTTACACAGAGTACCTCTCTGTTTACAGAATACATAACTGTAATATAAAATTAATTATCCTTATAGTCCTTAGCCCCAGAAATAGAATCAAAGAAATAAGATGAATTTAATTAACTCACCAAGTTAGGGGCAGACAGGGGAAACCCCCCCAGAGTCCTTGATTCCCTGGGGTCCCCTAACTATACTACTGGGGCAGGAGATGGAGAGTGAATGAGTGATCTGGCCTAGGGAACCTGCAGAGGTACTGGCAAACTGATGCTTCTTGTTCTATCTAGAATGGACTCAAAACAAAAGCAGATGGACTCGTGGCTTGGGAGGCTGAGGCAAGAGGATCGAGAGTTCAAAGTCAGCCTCAGCAACAGCAAGGCACTAAGCAACTCAGTGAGACCCTGTCTCTAAATAAAACACAAAAAAGGGCTGGGGATGTGGCTCAGTGGTCGAGTGCCCCTGAGTTCAATGCCTGATACCCACTCCCCTCAAAAAAAAAGCTGGTAACAAATTTTCTCTCAGGGATCCAGGAATACCATTCCCATTCAGTCACTGACCAGATAAATTCTTCTAAGGTGCACTTTTCTCAAAATTCACATTAGAAATATTATACATGGCACTTAAACAACAGCACTCAGGCTTTTCTGACTTTGGCTCCTTTTCCCTTCGACAAGCACCCAGCTCTCCACATACTCATTGCTTTTTCATCAAAGTTTTACCCATTCACTGATCTGCTCCTGAGATGTTAGCAGAAGCCAGGGTACACAATGTGATTCCTCCTAAGAGTAAAACTGTAGGGAAGTTGAGATAAAACATTGTTCACATGGCCACATACCGGCTGCCTCAAATATTCAGCCTTTCTCGTCAACCTGGTCAGAAGGTGCAGTGCAGAACAAGGAGAGCAAAGGGAAGGACTTACCTCATAAGCAAGGTGTGACCTGGTGATCATGGCTGTGCTTTGGCTAGCAACAGTGATGCTCAAGGAGGAGCCCGCAGCCAGCCTCGGCCCTTGGCCCTCTGATAGGGACACCTCCACTCTCACTTCTGACGTGGTCACTGTGAGGCCATCTGTCACTGAGATCTCCATGCTGTCTTCCCAGACAGAGGAACCATCATGGATATACTGCAGAGCGTTTTTCTTCATATCATCATATGTGAAAGTGTCACCTTTAAGAATAAAACAAATTGTAGACCTATTACTTCTGGGAACAGTGCTTCTCATTTATATAGCACCTTTGTTCTCAGGATTTCAAAGTACATATAGAATCATAAACCCTGGGAGTTACAAGCTTATTATTCTAATCGCCCACCCAATTTAGGATTCCCTTTACACCACCCTTAGAAAAGGGTGGGTTAGTCTGTCCTTCCTCATGTCTCAAGGTGAGCAGCAAGTGATCAAGGTAGCTAATGCCTCTGGCAATAACCCTAATTTTTTTTAAAGGTTCTTAATTATATCGAACTGAAATCTACCTCTAGAAGATTCCCTGATGACTCCTAGTTACAGAAAAACAAATGACAGGCTGGGCCCAGTGGTGCACACCTGTAATCCCAGCTACTTGGTAGGCTGAGGCAGGAGGATCACAAATTTGAGACTAGTCTGGGCAACTTAGTGAGACCCTTTCTCAAAAGAAAAAGTAAAAATGAAAAAAGGACTGGGTTTGTAGCTCAATAGTACAGCATCTCTAGGTTTAACACCCAATGCTGATAAATAAATAAGAAAGGAAAGAAAAAGAACAAACCTGTATTTTTTATGACAGCCCTTCTGGAATCTAATCCTGGTACGAAAAAAAAAAAAAAAAACTAACAGATTAAGCTTGATGGGCCTATAAGACATCTTTATTTAATTGAGGGTATAAAAATTTCTTAAATTAAAAATTGAAAAATACACTTGAAATTTGAAACTCAAACTGCATAGTCTAGAGTACGAATTCATAACAGATTAGACAGATGTGGGAAGAAAGCTTCAAGTTCACATATATAATKGTATTGAATAGAATTTAGAATTTATGTTTTAACCTGCAGGACTTTGAGTTTTTTTAATAATGTTTTAAAACATTAATATACAAATATTAAAGGTTCCCAAACCTGTTTGGTCATGGAACCCTTTTCATGACAAGTGCCTCTAAGTGCCATGGCTCTAATGAGTCCACAGAACACAGCCAAGGAATCAGTCTTCCTGGAAGTTATTTTCGGCTCTAATAATTAGTATTATATAATGAGATGGAAAAATCAACTCATTCTGTGTTCATATTCTAAGAAGCCTTCTCTTCAACAGTGTGTTACTGTGTTTTACTAGTACTAGTGGTGTGATGCCTGAGAAAGGAAATAAAAGTTTTTACAAATGTTTTTAGACCTTATAAATTAATTACACAGAATAGGTGGCATGTGATGTTAAAGAAACAAGACAGTGACCAAAATACCCCTAAAGTACTCCCTTTGGGTGGTTCATATCTGTTCTAATGGCACTGCATTTGTTTAGTAAAATTTTAAAGTCTACCTCTGTGATGCCCACATGCTGGTGGTAGTTCTTAAAATTCAATATACCTTCAAGGGCAAGAGATATTAATAATATCTCTTACCAGGGATATTCAGAAGCAAGCATTACTATATCTCTAAAAGGAACCATATCAAGGTTTGAGAAAGTACAGATGGTTGGAATAAAATGACATTTCAAGGAGACCACTTTGGAAGAAATAACACTAGACTTGATATGAACTATTAAAAAGTAGGTTTCAATTGTGTTCTTTGTATTTTCATGTGTTTCTTAAAAGCTGGTCTATTACATTGCTTAGGTAATACTTCAAAAATGTGTTCCCCCTTTTTTATGAAGACACGTGTTGCTAAYGCTATCAAAGTCACAGTGCTAAACACATAGTGAGGATGCACATACCACAGTATGACAAATTCATCTTCATGGAGAAGCTACCAGAACTATTGCCGCACAGCAAGCCATGCCCGCTTGCAGCTGACATGCCTATGGTGGTGATGAAATGCATTTACAAGCTTTAGAAGTCTGCCCATTTCACCTACAACCTGAGGAAGCAGGTTCACAGTTTCCAGGGTGGGCTGGGGCAGACGAGGGATGAGGAGTGGGAGTGGAAGGGGAAGAAGTCTAATACCAGGCCAGTGAATGAAACATGAAAGGCAGTCTCTCCTCACAGTGTATCCCACAGAGCCACTTCACTTCTTTTCACATAAAACCAATTGTAGAGCAAAAAACCTCCCAGGCGGGTCAAGTACTGTGCAGCTACCTGTGGCCATGGGTTCTTGGAACCCAGCCATAAGCTTAAGCAGAACACCATGCTTTGGAGGTTTCCGGAGGTCGAAGGAGAGTCCTTCAGGGTCTGTCTCAGCATCTCTCACTACCAACTGGAGGCCTGCAGCAAGGAGAACAAAGCATGGTGAGGCAGAGTGGGTACAGTGACAACTGAATACTCTATACATGAATGCCACAGGCCAGGCTGCAGCTAAATCTGTAATCAAAAAGAAACAATCTGTGAGGTGAACAGAGACCCTACATCTTGGGAGCAAATCTTTACCCCTCACATATCAGATAGAGCACTAATCTCTAGGGTATATAAAGAACTGAAGAAGCTAGACACTAAAAAAACAAATAACCCAGTCAATAGATCGGCCAAGGACCTGAAGTGACACTTTGCAGAAGATGATACACAATCAATCAACAAATACATGAAAAAATGTTCATCATCACTAGCAATTAGAGAAATGCAAATCAAACCACTCTTAAGATTTCATCTCACTCCAGTCAGAATAGCAGCTATTATGCATACAAACAACAATAAGTGTAGGTGAGGATGTGGGGAAAAAGGTTCACTCATACACTTGCTGGTGGAACTGCAAATTGGTGCAGCCAATATGGAAAGCAGTAAGGAGATTTCTTGGAAAATTGGGAATGGAACCACCATTTGACCTAGCTATCCCTCTCCTCGGTCTATACCCAAAGGACTTAAAAACAGCATACTACAGGGACACAGCCACATCAATGTTTATAACAGCACAATTCACAATAGCTAAACTGTGGAAACAACCTAGATACCCTTCAATAGATGAATGGATTAAAAAATGTGGCAATATATACACAATGGAATATAACTCAGCAATAAAAGAGAATAAAATCATAGCATCTGCAGGTAAATGGATGGAATTAGAGAAGATAATGCTAAGTGAAGTTAGCCAGTCCCCCAAAACCAAATGCCCGAATGTTTTCTTTGATATAAGGAGGCTGATTCATAGTGGGATAGGGAGAGGGAGCATGGGAGGAATAGATGAACTCTAGATAGGGCAGAGGGGTGGGAGGGGAAGGGAGGGGTCATGGGGTATTAATGATGTGATGATCATTATTATCCAAAGTACAGGTATGAAGACACAAATTGGTGTGAATATACTATGTATACAACCAGAGATATGAAAAATTGTATTCTATATATTTAATAAGAATTATAATGTATTCTGTTGTCATATATAAATAAAAAATGTGAAAAAAGTGCTGTTTAATTCCAATCCAGCACAAGAATGAAAACTGATAGCACAGTCTATTCACAAACTGTATCATGTAGGTTCTTCCAAAATTCATTTACAAGTAGGCAGTTCTGAATTCAGAATACTTTTTTTTCTTCCATACAAATGAGGGCATGCACAGAGGAAGGCCATGAGAAGGTTGATCCTGACCAGTTGAGATAGGTTTTCTTTCAGGAAATACTCCATAAACTATTTTTGCTTATCATGGTTTCTTCTTTTGTTATTTTTCTGATTCTACCAGAAAAGCCAAGTTTAATGATAGCTGCTATGCCCATCATGAAAGTGAAGATAAGAGTAAAAGTGACATTTATTTTAATGGCTTGTTTATGAATTCGATGACAACTTTTGGCTAAAAACCCACATGGAGAAAACAGGAAAATTAATTTTGGGACAGAAGCCATACAGAGAAACTGCATAAGGATCTACAGAGCATACCTAACAAAAATCATTGTCTACTGTTTGTCCTTGGTAGAGGAATACATAAACCCCTAAAGAGTAAGTATACTAAAAACTAAATAAAAATATGTACGAAATAACTGGGCTGACTCTAATTTCTCACAACTTCTGAAGGTTATTGTGATCTGTCATTTCTCCTCTTCCTCCTCACTTTCWAAAAAAAAAAAAAAAAAAAAAAAAAAAAACCAAGAGTAGTTATTGAAACCCACTCCCCTCCATTCTCCTCTCTGCTCTGTTACTTTATATTTTAGTGAAGGAAACAAATCAAACTCCTGGTGACTGGGGAATAAATTCAGGGTTGCATTCCATCACAAGTGCTGGCCTTCCAAGGGTGTACTTCATTCTCTCTATGCTGCTTCTATTTGCATAAGAATGGGCAGGAGGAAGTGAGGCTGGCAGGGCAGGAAGGACAGTCAGTGCAGATAATAAATAATTGGGTCCCATCTGGAGGATGGGGGATGGTTGGAAAGAAAAAGAAACACATGCTCCCATCTCCAAAGCCCTTCCCCTTCCTCCTCCAACCTGTTGCAAAGGTAAACTGCCCCAGGAATTGTTTCCCCCTTCAGGGAGTTGTAGGAGTTGTTAATTAATGCTTCCAGGGCTGGTCCCTTCTTGCCCATACCCCTGGGTGGCTTCCTTCAGCCCTTGGATCACTCCACTATTTGCCCCACCATTTGGTCACAAATGCAGGATAGGAGAGGAGAGAGGCAAGATAAGGGGAGAAGGAGGGCATGAGAACAAAAGAATTCTAAAATGTATAAAGAAGTCTCTGTTCTATCCTTTAAATAAAACTTGCTTTCTACAATTGCTTCGGCATTTCCCGTGTGTTTAATCTTCACATCTGCTGTAATGGAACTCAGCCCAACTGATTCACATCACTGGTGGTATCAGAGGATATAGGTGTAAATGCTCAGAACTTCAGGAAGAGGAGGCCACTGCTTTTTGGCGACCATCAAGAAGCTTCAAGAGGAACTGCTGCTGAAACACAATCCTATCTCCAGAGACATGTTTCTCTCAGGCTCCCAGTTCTTACCTAGAGAAGTGCGGCCTCCTGGGCTGACCTGGAGCAGGGGAGCTGTGACCTGGAACACTGGTGGTTGTCCATCCATGGGAAGGAGATGAATGGTGAGGGCCATCTCTGGACTAGTGTGCTCTCCATCTGAAACTGGTAAGTATACACACACGCGTGCACACAAGTGTTAATCAACTTGTCGTCTAGTCATCTTCAGGCTGTTTCCACAAATACAAAGCTAGAAGCATTTTAAGATTACCTTAACAATGAAGAGATCCTTATAGATGGAAAAGTAAAATAAGCAAGATATTGTGAGCTATTCTAACAAAGCCTTTTCTATGGATAAGAGAAAGGATAAAGGACTTTAAGTACAAAGCCATTTTAAGAGAATATTTTCATAGCAAATTGATTTTGACAAATGTTAGTGGAAAGTAACACAAAATATGCACTCTTAAGTGATGCTGGTAAAGGCTTTCACTTGTGGAAATTTGTTTTTATTAAATTCATTCCCCTAATATTCCAAAAAATATTTTCTTTTAAGAACTCTCTTTTAGGAAAAAACACATTTTTGTTTCATTAGAAAAGAATTTTTTGAAAGGACAGAAAAAAACGATTTTGGCATCTGTTTGAAGGTGTGGCAATTGTTTGAAAGAAGCAGATCCATTTTTACCTGGTCATTATGCACAATGCCATAAATAGAAGACATCTTTGTGAGCAAAACAGTGACCTTAAATTTTATTTCCCTGGGTTCCCTCCATCCAAGTGAACCTGATCTCCTAAGGAAAACAAGGCAAAACTGACTCTTATTTCTGCTTTCTTCTCTCTCAGTAATGCCTTCCCCTCTCTCAAAGCTTGGTCTGGAGGGAAGTCAGCATCATCAGCCCTTCAGAGTGTTAATCTATGGTGGCTGCTGAGAGAATTGCACTGTTCATGCTTTAAAATGTGTGATATGCTTGCAGATGACCTGGTTATGAGAAACTGGTTCCCTTCATCACTTTCTTTTGGACTTAGTAGCAAGTCAGTAGGAATCCAATTCCTTCTGAAGCAGAGTGATTCCTTTAAGCATTCTTAAGCAATGCTCACTAACTCCTATTAATGATGCCATTCAAGTTTTAGATTTTTCTCATTCGTGAGGCAGATCTGAAAATACAGTTAGATTTTATAAGGTATACTCCATGTCCTAGAAAAGTCCAGAAATAGCCCTGTGGAAGGAGAGAGAACATCATCCGCACAGAAATGCAGGTTCTGGACATTCAGTTGAGGGTCAAAATTATTGCCACTGCTTCTGTTTTACATTAAATCTCCTTCTCTCTGGATGATCAAAGATAGGGACAGATGATTCTTAACTTTTGATGATTTGGAGGGAAAACACAAACTTATTTTTATAAATTTCAGTGGTTTCAGGACTCTGAGATCTCTGGAATCTAAGTTAAAGTAAAAATAAATAATTGTGAAATATAATTATATTTTATTTGCTATGATTTAAATTGGTTTTGCTTCTAAGTGGGAAGAAGCACAGGGACATCAACATCTTTATTTTATAGAGAAGGACAGGAAAGGCCCTAAAACTTGGCCATATCACATAGTGTGACTGAGGCATATCCTTGCCTGTATAAGTGGAAGAAAGCTGTTTTCTGGTTCATGTTATATAACTAGAAAATATACCATGCTGGTGCAGTGTTTCACAAGCAAACATAAGGACGTACACCGAAAATATTAGCAATTCCATGTCTAGCCGTCTCTTCAAGAAATGTTTCTGATTTCCCTAAGAAATAGTCAAACTGCCTGTTGGGGTTAAATGCCTCCCGTGTGTTCCTTGCTGAGAACACACACTGTTCCACAGTGTCTGCATGTGTCGTGAAGCCAGTCAGCTCAGGGACATCAGCGTTCCTTCTCATCATAGCTGATTAACTGAAATAGCTCCTCTCCCTCATTCCATGGGCTAATGTCAGGTTTGGACTGGCTACAGCCGTAGTTCATTATCTGTCCAATTTTCAATTTTCTCTCACAAAATTCTCCTGAAGGAGATGGCTTCCTTCCTACTAGAATCCAAGTTTTTCTCAAAAAAAAAAAAAAAAGATAAATAAAGAATCTTAGGAAGAAAACATGATAATTTAAGGTCAGCCCAAAGTCCATCCCATTAAATCTGTATTAAGGGTTCAAGGATCATTTAACTTAAAGTCCTAGAGAAATTAATTGTTAACCCTTCACCTACCATGACACTTAGTTTCCATTAGCAACACATACACATCAGGTGAAACTAATTACCCCATACTGTGAGTCAGAAACTTGTATTAAATCCCAGTTCTAATCTACCAGTGGTAGAAACCTGGGCAGATTATTTACTCCTAATGACCTTCAGTTTCCCCTCATTTAAAATGCTAAAGATAGTACTTATTCTTATAAAATGATTAAATAAGACTATATTTATTGTAAGTTGTTTCAMAAAAGGTAAAAAAAGTATCATATATTATTTCTGATTGCATGGATTACATAGAGGCCTGCCATTAGAAATGAGCTGATTTTAGGGACACATCAACAATGACACACACTGAAACTGTTGATTCAAGTGCGATTTTTAACCGTCAAAGAAGACAGAAAGGTCTGGGAGTTTGACATAAGTGATTTTCTGTCCTACCAAGACTTCTCCCTCCATGAAATACAACAGGACACATGGATGGGTGATTGTAATGGAATAGTCAATCCCATCTAAATGGTATTTAAGACACTATTTATAGCCAACTACCCTCAGTCAAACTTAAACAAGAAAACTTGTTGCCCCAGCATAGAAGTCAGACTCTCTTGTAAGGATGAAGCTCAGATTCGAATGCAGTATTAACTGTAAGAGGATGCTAAGGTCTTCTGCACAGACTTCTCAGCTCATGCTCTGAGTCATAAGACTCTTCCCTCCAGTGTCAAAGCACTCAATGAGAGGCTTTATTCAAGACTACATACAACCCTGACTCATCAACTGAGTGTACAGGGATGATTGTGACCAATCGTTTTTCTGGGGTCCTTATCTATGCTATTATTATTACTATTATTATTATTAACTCGATTTATGGATGAGGCATTCAGGCACAGAGAGGTTAAGAAACTTTTCCAGAGTAGGTTGAACTTCAGGCCATCTGGTTCAGAGTCTAAGATCTTAACCACTATCAGCTCTTTTTTTAACAAATGTTAGGATAAGTTGAATTAGGGCCTAAATAACATTAATCTTTAGCATCCTTGGTTGACATTTTCTATGAATACAAAATTAAGCAATTACTAAGTAACTAACCATGTGATTATTTTAAAAGAAACTTGTTGTAGAAAGAAAGTCACACAACTTTTAAGTAGCTCTTAGAAAATAGGTAAAAGTACTGAGGAAAAGAGTAAAAAGAAAGGAATAATAAGAGAAGGAAAAGTCTTATTGTCTAATAAAATTGAGATTAAAATCTTTACCTGTGAAGTGGAATTTCACTGATTCTGGGAGACCTGAAAAGAGTGAGAGGAAAATCCTTATATAATATATTTTGGAATCATGGATACATGGAAAAGGCACAAAATATATGACAGAGATTAGGAAGGTAAAAATTGTTTTAACCTAGATGATTCTGACTTGAGGAACCATCAGTAGGTCATTCGCTAATGTTATGTCAAATTTAATGATGCCAACATTAATGTTAAGTAGCAAAAAGAACCACATAGTGGAATAATTCTGTATCACAGCAGTTAGAGTGATTTATAATACATTCATTCAGATCCAATTTTATCAGTACATAAAATCCTACAAATTGGCAAATGTGGGTGATGTCGTATATCACTGACAGTGCTCTCAGGTGGGTCAATTCCATTGTAGAATTGAGTGATGCTTGGGACATTGATTTACACACTGTAACTGTGAGAGAGATTTATCTTGTGGCATTTATCCCATAGATTATACAAGACAGGACTCTACTCTCCCAAAGAGACTCTAGCTACTAAGGCAAGTATAACAGATTTGGAAATTACTTCAACCATGGCTGGCATGTTTTCTTTTCCTCTAATCCCAGGATATCTTGAGTTTCTTATAAAATAGTTATTGTAAAGTGGGGGCTAGAGAACCATGAACATTTTCATGGGCTATTAGTTACCCAGTTACAAAACATCAGGGTTACTCCTCAGAGAAAGGGCCTCTCCATGCCCTTAGAGATTTTCAATCTAATTAAGGAGTTAACATTTTCTAGACAATTGAACTTATATTAAATAGTGGCAAATATCACTTCATATGTTTACCATAATCAAAAAAGAAACTCTAGGATTATTTAATCCATGTTCAACTTACCATAGAAATCACCAGCTGTTCTATTTGAATAAATCTACTATATAAAAGTAATAGCCTATATTCAGCATTTTATGTGGTGCATAGATTTTAGAAATAAAGAAACAAGCTCCCAAATTTTTCAAATCATTCCAAGCCATAGCAATATTTAGGGATAGGGACTTGCAACTTTGCAGTCAACAGCTTTGATTACTGGGTCAAGGGAAGAGACACCGTGATAAGACTAAAGGCTGTCATGGTTTAGCAGAAAGGCATGTGCTAGCTTTAATGAAAAATTCAATTGTTTTTCCACTCAATGTTTAAAAATGTGTCTTCTATCAATTCCTGGTATTAATCGCAGAAGGTCACCTGCATTCTCCACCCCTGCTTCTGAAGCCTTCACTGAGGTACTGCAGGACCCTCCTACCTGGATTTCCCTTACTCACATCCTTATTTATTTTGGCTTCCTTGTCAAGTGCATTTACATCACTATAGACAAAAAGTTCCTTATAAAAGCCATCCCCTGTATCATCAAACCTCTACTGCATCCTCTAAGTCTTGGAATTAAGATTCAAATCCTTTTAGGCTTCCAGGACCTATAAGGTCTGGCCCATTTCCTCCACCAAGCTCATCTCTGCACACTCACTCACCACATTACAGGATCATTGACTCTTAAATCCTATCATGTTCTCTCCTTCCCAGGGCTTCTACACACAGGGCACATGCCCTTCTTTTAGGAATGCTTCCCCCATCACCTCTATGCACACACAGCCTTGGTAGCATCTATCCATCCTTCCACTGTCAATATCTTCCTCGAACAGCCTCCGTAGAGCCCACTAACTAGGTCAAGTCTTGCAATGTTTAATTCTACTATGGAACATTATTCCTCCTTTTCTGAGCTCTTGTCTAAGTCTGCAATTAATCATTCATTACTGGGATTATTTACCCAATTGTCTCCATACCTAAATCTCCAAGCAGTCCAAGAACAGATCCATACCTCTCTTTGCTCACCACTGTATTTCCAAGGCCTCACTTAGTGATCAGCACATAAGAGCCACAAAATTAAAGCTTACTGAAAGTCAGCCAACATGCGTGAAATAATGGGAAAAAGAAAAGGTGGAATGGAGGAGACAAAGGCACATAGTGGCTGACAGGTCACAAACTATCTTCAATAGCCATAAAGTAGTGTCACACCAAACTGTCTAGAGGACGGTGGGAAGAGTTGGAGTGAGTCAGTCATAAAGATCCACAGAGAGCAGTGTAGGTGCCTCAAGGCAGAGGGGAGAGAGAGAGCATTACCAGCAAAGGAGAAGGCCATCATCTCCTGGAGGTGGGGAGCTGCAGAGGGAGGGCGGTACATGACTTTCCCCTGGTTAACATCTTCCTGTGTGAAATACCGGATGGGTGAGTGAGGCTGGTCCCTGTGCTCGATGATACCTAGGGAGGAAGAAATGGGCATGAGCATCCCCAGGAACTCTCAAGGCTGACAAGATGGTCAGAGCCACAAAGCCAGCTTTGCTCATTGGTAGGAGTCTTTTATCCTTCATTCAGGTCCAGTTACTCTCTCTGGTTGTTCTTGGTGTACTGTTCTCTTGTAATTCAAGAAAAGGGCAAATCTAAAACCCAAAGTAGGACTCATGGAACATAAAACATAGTAAGAGGCAAACTACTGCCCCTCATGAGCTTGGACCATGTAATTTTCCTTAAGTCACAGAAAGGGTACCCTAACTATGAGACCCTCCCAGCTGAATTTCATTCAAAGGTCAAGGTTGCTGAGAGGCCAACCTAGAATGATTTTCTAATGAGGCTGTAAAGAGATTTTCCTTMGTCTTCCCTCCTCTCTTTAGAAAATGCTTTAGTCTCTGCAATGACCTTTGGCAACAGTAACATGAATCTCGATGATTCTAAGAACTGGATTTGCAGCATTCACTTGGCCTATGCTCAATGCTTTAGGGGCTGCAGGTTTGACTGTTCATAAATTTTGCAGGTACAGAGCTAATGCTTTCATCATATTTCATATCTTATTCTAAAAGGAAGGCACATGTGAGGCTGGGGGTTGAACTTTCTGTGGGGCTGAGACCAATGGCCATTCTGAAGAAGATGGCCCAGCTTCTGGTCTGACACTGTAGGGAGAATTTCTATGATAACTTAGCAGATTAAAAAAAAGGGGGGGGCAGGATGACTTTTAGACTTTAAATGGCTTTGGACTTTATCAAAAGGTAATGGAGTTTAATTTTCAGACTTTTACTTTTCGTTGGGAACTTGGTAATTGGAGAGGCTTCCTTCAGGGACCATGGTTGGTGTCGGGAGAACAGTGTCAGAGAAGGAGCAGAACTGTCATAGAAGCTGGTCTCCTTCTTGGGAGGGACAGCACACCTCTGTTGGACACAAGCTCATTATGTGAGCTCAATGTGAAGAAATCTGAGTGCTGGAGACTGATGGAAGGGGCCCACTTCTCCTCTGACTCCAGTTCTGCATTCCTGTGTTCCCTATGAAAGGAGGAGCCTTTGGGCCCTGGCAGACTTCTTTGCTCTTAGCACCTGCCCATTTTGGTCTGCTTGCCCCTCAGGGCAGGCTTGGTCCCTACAGACAATGCCTATATGCGCCGGGTCCTATCAGGTCATGGCAGAGAGTGCTCAGTCTGGTGGCACCATGTATTCCAATCAGCTCTGTCCAAGCCAAAGCCAACACATTATTCTTTATCTTTCTCTCTTAGTTCTAAACTAGAGGACAGGTGCATGGGATATGAATAACTCTTATTTCTAAAACCCCCATCGGTATCTCCATGTACCCAAGCAGCAAAAGCTACAGAATTTTTAAGATTTGTCCACAAATGGTAGGCGATAGCATCTCCSAAAAGATCATTTACTGCACATCTTACCATGATTTGGATGGAGAGGTCGAGTGATATTGTATATAATCTTTCTACTGGGCCTCCCCGAGTTCACAAAGGACAGGGCATGAGGCTGAATGACAGTCAGGCCATCTTCCCGAGCCTGAAAAAAACGTTCAGAAAGGGAGAAGGACGAATGGTGTGATGAAAACTAAACCAAACCCCCAAAACCTTATTAAGAAAACAAAAGCAAATTCCCTCTGGGCTTTTAAATCAGTCACACGGAATAGAGTTTCCTCCAGAAGTGCAAAAGGATCTGGTGTCTTGCACTACAGATTTGTCCCAGCCTCAGTAAGCTCCAGGGTTACAGAGACCTTTGTAGATTATCTAGCCCCCTGGCTCTTCTCTCCTCTGCCCCTGACCTCAGGTTTATGTCAGTATATGCTGTGGGGGGTCCCAATATGGTTATTTTTCCCCAGGCRGAGCTTGCACGGGAACACATTGGGTCTAAAAGAGGCTCCACAGCTGGCTATTCTACTGTTTCCATCTGGCTTCCACATCTTTGCTCTTTTAACTTAATGGGCTAAGGTTGAATCTGGCAAGAAGTTCTGACGACCCAACTGGGAGGTTTAAGTTTTGGCCCCAGGAGGTTCTTCAGAGCATTAYCCCAAACCTCAGTTTTGTGAATTTGTGATGCTTTCTGTTTTCAAAGGGCTAAAGATGAATAGGGCCTCAAACACCAAAAGAGGCTCACTATTTGCATTCAGAGCTATTTGTTTATTAAAGCTTATAAYCATAGCCAACATTTCTCTTTGTGTTCATTCTACTATGCAAAAGAACTAGACATTGCTTTTCTCCTCTAGCTTTCAGGACTCAATGAGTGGGTCAAGCAATATTAATCAGAGGGCCCCATGTATGTGTGTTACTTTCACTATCTTGTGCACATCCATGACCCACCAACAGGAGTCAACACTCAAAAAAAGAAGGAAAGATTCAGACTCCCACAAGCAGGCAATGACTGGGGACAGTGGCAGTAAAATCAGTATAGAGAGAATAAAAGGGAAAACTAGTCTGAGCATGGACCTTTAACCGAGTCATGCATGCTGTCTTAGAACATAATATCCTGCTTGTTGCAGGCTCTTTCTAACTGACCCTAGAGGTAGGCTGGGGTGTGACATGCTCTTCTGCTCTTTGAAGCTCTGCTTCTTCCAGAAGGAATTTCCCCATTTAGAAAAAGATTAAGTGGGGCTCAGTAATGCTCCCAGAGGAGGGTGTGGTGCTCTTCTTTTAACCATAAAAAGATTGAAGGTTGCAGTTGCTTTGTAATTGTCCCCAAGGCATACTTGTCCCAGGGAGAGGCGGCATCTGCAGGTTAAGACAATCCCCCCATAAGTAAAGAGTCATATTTCAGGTCCTTGCTCAGGTCTGGAATGTAATGAGCAAGGAAAATTAGAATTGCAAACAGCAGCTGGTCTCTCAACCTAAAATAAAACAAGTAAGGACAACAAATTTAAAAATATATGCCCTATATAAGGTGTTTACAGCCCATTCATGTGTGCAGACACATGTGGGCGTGCATACAAGGAAAAAAGTAAAGGCTTGGCACACTGTTCAGTTCTGTTTGCAAAATTGCAATCTCAAAACCATTGTAATAACCTAACATTCTCAGAGTACCATGGGATACTTTTGAAAATCTGGATGTCCCTAAAACAATAAAGTGGTAAGAAGAGAGAATTATCAGGGATATAGGTCTATGGAAAAGGGAAATAAGTTCCAGCCAAGACAACAGATATTCTATTTTAGAATTTATAGATTTTTCTCTACTAATAGAAATAGACATTGGGTAGAAAAAGTGAGGACTTGATTCTGTGAAGAAAGCAATATTGAGGTTGAGACATATAAAAATATGATCAATTTTAATACTGGCTATTTAAAATGTTCAATATTTATCAATTAAACATAGTAAGAAATGAGAGATTAAATTTCACGGAAATCRTTATGGAAGACATTTTTTATGACATATCTGTCAACCAAAGAAAACTGCAGAATAATGGTTTTCATAATACCCATATATCTCTGAATATATCCAGAATCCAAATCTTTCTCCCTACCTCCACTGCCAACACCCTGCTCAGAGCCAGCTTCTCCCCTGGATCATTTGGCCTCCTGACTGTCCTTTCACCTCCCCCACAGTCTATTTCAGCACAGCAGCCAGTGTGATCCCTTTACAAAGGACACTGGATCTGTGTCCAACACCCTGCAGGGGCTTTGCAATCAGAACAAAAGTCAAGTTCTTACAGTGGTCTGTTGAGTCCCTGCRATCTGTGTCCCCTCCACATCTGTGAATTCACATCAATCATTTTCACTTTCACTCACTATGCTTCAGAACACCCTCAATAAGGAGACCCCAAACTGAAGTTGTCACGCCCACCCATATCCCTAATTTTAATAAATGGTACTTTGGTATTAATGTTTGATGGAGATGAGTTGGGGTTGATTCATGAAGATTCCATAAGAGTAGCAGACACAAGAGTCTTTCCATATATAATTTGCTACTGTGCCTCTAAACCTTTCTTTATCTCTCTCTTAATTTCTTCTACCATTGTAACAATTTTTTTTTTTTTGCGGGGGGGAGGGTACTGGGGATTGAACCCACGGGTGTTTAACCACTAAGCCACATCCCCACATTTTTTTCATATTTTATTTAGAGACAGGGTCTTACCAAGTTGCTAAGTGCCTTGCTAAATTGCTGAGACTGGCTTTGAACTCACAATCCTCCAGCCTTAGCCTCCCAAGCCACTGGGATTACAGGCATGYACCACAGCGCCCAGCTCCATTGTAACCATTTTTAAGTGTTCAGTACAGCAGTGCTAACTATRTGCATATTGTATAATAGATCACTATAAATTGTTCTTCTTGTAACACTAAAAATATAGCCACTGAGAAACTTTCCTTTTCTCCCTATCCCACTCCCCTCTCACCCCTGGCAACCACCATTCTACTTTCTTTCTCTAAGAGATTGACTACTTCTATAGACTTCATTCGAGTGTAACCAGATGTTATTTGTGTTTTTGTGACTGGTTTATTGCATTGGCCTAATGTCAAGGTTCATTCATGTTGTAGCATATAACAGGATTTCCTCCTTTTTAAGGCTGAATAATATTCCAGGTATGAGCATATGTGTATAATAAAGATATACACACATATGTACAACCTTTATATGTCATGTATAGACAACATTTATATATCATATTTTCTTTGTCCATTTATCTGGCTTCCACCTCTTGGATATTGTGAATAATGCTACCATGAACATGGGATTAGATCTCCCTGACCTTGAACTCATATTGCCAMTGTATGGGATTCAAACCACTAACCTCTCTGGTTCTAGGTGAATGCAATAGTCTACTTGTTGTCTGAATATCCCCCATCCAGAATGTTCTCTACCCTGTAGCCAGAATGAACTTCCAGAACCAATCATTAAAAATCTGATCTGGTCATGGCACTTTTCTGCTATAAATCCTTCAACACCAACAGTCTTTGGGGACAAAATGGAAATTTTATCATAAGGTTCTCCATGATCTGACTGTTATTTCATGCTGCTTTTACACTTAGGGATTTATGTGCCAGCCCACTGAACCACCTATCATTCCCCAAATATGTCATGTTCTCCTGTGTCTCCAGTTTTTTTCATCTGCTGCTCCTATTGCCTGGGTGAATTTCCCCTTTTTTACTCTCTGAGGTTATTTACAGGTGGAGATTTCAGCAGCAAACAGCATCCCCTGGGGACCTGTCAGAAATGCAGATTGTTCACTCTATGTCAGACCTGCTAAGTTAGAAATCCTAGGGTGGGTTCTTTTTTAGGGGAGGGGGATACTGGGGACTGAGCTCAGTGGTACTCAATCACTGAGCCACATCCCCATTCCTTGTTTTGTATTTTATTAAGAGACTGGGTCTCACCGAGTTGCTTAGGACATTGCTTTTGCTGAAGCTGGCTTTGAACTTGTGATCCTCCTGCCTCAGCCTCCCACACTGCTGGTATTACAGGCATAAGTTTGAGATCTCGAGAACCCTGATTTTGAGATCTCATTTCCACTTATCCAGCTCAGTCCTCTCCTAGAGGAAGCTTCTGTGATGCTCTCCCGTGCTCTCATGCACTAGGTGCCCTCCCATTGGCTTCCATGTCATTGCATTTATCACTGTAGTATCACTGCTTAATTAGTTGTCTCCTCATTGACTCAAAGTTCCTGAAAAACAGAGGCTCCACTTTAAGGTCATTGAATCTCTATGTCTTCCACATCTCTTGGCATAAACCAGGAGATCAAATGTGTTTATGAATGAATGCCTGGATGAATCCATGTGGAGGTAGACTCCTATTTTTATGTGTGTGTGTGTGTGTGTGTGTGTGTGCGCGCACGCACACATGTGTGTGCACATGCACACTTATACTATGTATCTACCACATAAATTCATAATGTAGTTAGCAAATATGTACAGTACCTATGTGTTTAGATGAGTCTAAACTACTGAACTGAGAATGTGTTTTTTGTTACCGATTACAAGCATGTCCTACAGCAATAGCCCTAATTAATATCAAATAGATTTATATTCTGTATATTGTAAGTAACAAAATAGCAAGCTAATCGAATTTTATGGTAAACTAACTTTTGACATTTCCTGTGTTTCAGATGGACGGACCTAATTTGCAAACATGAAACCTGAGACCCTAAAGGTTAAATCAACTTGACAAGTCTCTTCAGAGGTGCTCAGCAGCAGAGCGGAACGGCACCATCTTCATGGCTCCTGGCCTGTTTTTCCTGTCTATGCTCAAAATAACACTGCATTAGCATTTGGCAAGAAATGTGTAYGCACAGTTTTCTTTACAGTTTGAAGAAAATTCTGATCCAAGTTCCTCCAGTCAGAATGATGAATTATAGACTTGATAGTGCTGCTGAATTATGATTTCTTTAAATTACGGTTTATGGTGGAAATGCCGATACCAGCTACTCATTAAAAACTTTCTATTTTCCCCTTTATGTCTCTGTCATGCCCTAGACCCATAATTTCTGAAACTATCACTACTCTCTTTGTTGTGGCTCAAGGCTGATACACTACTTTGGAGTGTAATTATGTGGGCGCTAACTAAAACATGGATTCATAGTCGCTGATTTACAAGGGCTTGCATGCTTGCGGCTGTCTGGAAGAGTGGTTCTGGCATCCCACTTACTCTAGACACAGGGTTACGGTGGAGTTGCTAATCGTCTGAACTGAGCTTCATGGGACAATGCAGCTGACACCTTCCTTCATATCTTTCCATGCACCACGTTCCTTTCACATGGCACAGGGGCCGTCTGTGATCTGATGCAGTCACCTCCACATTTCCATTATTCCTTTTTTCTGCCTTCCTCATTTCTTCAGCCTCATGGGACTATTTGCAATTTTTCCACAGTCATATCCTTTCTCACTGTGTCTTTCATGTCCTCTTGATATCTGTGAAAGTGCCCTTTGACATCACCTCTCCATTCTGCAACCTGTCCCCAAGTTTTCTCTTGGGTAATGAATTGCTACTTATCTCTCTGGATGCAGCACTGACACCACCTTCTCTAGGATATTTTACAATACAAGGATAACTTTTCATAGAGCTTTTGAAAAATAACAGTTTCTCCAGCTAGGTGGTGCTATAACTGGTTGAATAATATACTCAAATGGTGTTAATGACATGGAGATAAGCCTGAAATTTCTTCTAAGCACTCCAGGAGAGATCCTGTAACTGTCTGGGATGCTAGAGAAAGGACATTGGCAATGGATGGGAGGTCAAGATGCACTCCACATAATCTTCCTCTCACCCTGGGAATTTTAAGTTTCTTTTTCAAGTCAATGAGAAATGTGTTTTCAGGGCTGCTATTGTTGGCTCTGGGGTCTGCGTTCTGGGCCAAGAATCTACCACATTTAAAACCAGGACACAAATCCCAGCAGTATACCACATGCCTCTTCCAAGTGTACACCATGAGTTCTCCCACCCRACTCACAGTCATATGGAGAGATGTTCCCAGAGAGAGCTTAGGTGCCTCCGGCGTGTGCGGTAAGATTGCAATGTTGAACACGYGGCTCTCCAGGTGGGCCTGAGCATCTGTGGCCCTAGACACCTGAAAAGCAAAGTCATCCTGGTGAGCCTTTCATCTTCTGCTGGTCAGAGTATGCTTGCATGGGTTTTGCTTCTCCCCCTTTAAACCATCTGTCTTTGCATCCTATACATTCCTGCATTACACTTTTCATTCTGTTCTTCATATTTTATTGTTAATCATTTACTGATTATAAAAAAGACATACAATCATTTTAGGCAATTCTGAAAATTGCAGGAAAGTATGAAAAAGAAATAAAAACTCATCTAGAATTTCACTACCTAGTAAGAGTGATTATTAATACATCGAGGTATTTCAGTTTAATTTTTTTACTGTGCAGACAAATCTCAATTTGTATGCAATTTTATATTCTAATTTTTTACTTGATAAAATACTGTGATATTTTGCTATATYCTTAAACATTCTTGAAAACATAATTCTGGATGGCTACGTAATGCATTATTATGATTATGTGACATGTGATCTTTATTCCATTCCTTTCATCTTTATTCATCATAGATTCCTATACCTAGACTAGCAATGTCAAATCTCAGCCTCATTTTTGCAGAACAAAATTATTAACATTTACAGTTAGGGTAGTAGTCACAGATTAAACTTTTTCTTGTTTCAAAACCACTGAAAAATGATGCTTTTCCTAGGCTGCTTCTTGCCCCCTTAAACGCTCCCTTGTCTCCACTGTTTATTCCACCTTCGTTTATCATAAGAACTGCTAAGCCCTGTGTGGCCACGTGTAGTTATATTAATTCCATATGACAGGAGTCAGGGTTGTGCAAATTCCGAGACAGAAGGCAACACAGCAGCTACAGCTCACGGAAGAAAACTCTTAGTCTTTATCTGGATCACATCACATGCCTGGGATCAAGTTTCAGAATATCTATGTGTCTTCAAGGAGATTCCTCATATTGTTGTTATAAAATAATATTAATATCTATAATTCACTGATCATCTAGTGTGAGCTCAGCATTGTATTAGTTGCTTTTTAAAGGTTGTCTTCTGGGCTGAGGTGGTAGCTCAGTGGTAGCGGGCTTGCCTCACATGCACAAGGCTCTGGATTCAATCCCCAGCACTGCACAAAAATAAAAAATAAATAAATGCAAATAACCAATATTGGTTAATTGGTTAGTTGGTTTTATATCAGTTCCACTGACCAAGATGACTTACTTTGGAAGCTTTCAGAAATGAAGAAAGGGGAAAGCTCTATCTCTTGAAGAAAAAGGAACAACAGCATGTGCAGGTAGTGAAATGTGGGCATATTACTGGCAAGTGAGTCAGTCTGGCTTCCCAGTAAAGTCACTGATAGTGAAATACATTGATATTTTTTTCAAAAAAAACCCAAATCCTCTGAGGAGGTGTCAATGTGATCCAAATACACCAAAACTAGGGCTATTTCCCACACCAAAAAAAATGACTAATTGTGCATGCTTTCCTCTCCCTTAGACTGTCTCTATTTTAAAATGCCACTTGTATTACATAAATTCCATCTTTCATGCAAAGTAACAGATGGGATGCATTGATGGCTCATGACAGCACATCAMCATTAAAATGGAATTAAATCTATGTAACTCATTATATTGCATTTCCTGCCTTAAAGAAAGAAAAACAAGGGAAGAAAAAACGAATCATCAGAACAGCATCTTTTTTAGTTTAAAATCCTTTAGGGACACTAAGATGATAAATGGGAAAAGTTGCTAACCATTTATTTTAGCACATGGTTATAGTGTCTGTGTATTTCAAATCAAAATATGAGGTAAGCCTATAAAACACTGAGACTTTAAAAACAAACAAACCAAAACTTTTATGTCTAAGAGAACACAATCTCAGAGTTGTTTCATACTTGTAATAAAGGTGCTCTCAGTGTTTAAAATGCACTTTTTGGACTGCCTTCAGAGGAAGTTCACAAATCATTAAGAAAGCTGAGAGCATTACTTCATAATTACTATCCACTTTAATAAAAAAAATAATTACCACTCTTTTTCTTGCCAGACCTGATTCTGAATGACTTTTGGCTATTTTTTTTTCTATATTTTCAAATCTACTTCCAAAAATGTATATTGTCATTATTGAGTATATTATCCAACACACTTTGAAAGTAATTTGAAATGGGAATTCCAAACAAATTCTGCACAAGAAGTGTGAAGGGAACATCTTTCTAAGTGATAATGATTGATTAATTTTTTACTCTCATTTAAAAATTTTATTTCATTTTGCTTTATTTTTTATTTTTATTTCACATTTGGCTTTATTTTGTTTTTGTACTTAGCAACCAACTTGTGAGAGCAATCAGATATCATTCTGAGCAGGTGCTTAGAGTCCCCTTCCAGGGAAACCTGCCACATTGATAATATTCTCTCTCCTGACCCTCAAGGAGGTAAAGGCAGGTCCCCAGATTCTAGTTTGCTGAGGTGACTTCTTTTGATTGAGGTCTTTGCCTCCATTCTGGCTCATTCTCTGATGACTGCAGTAGTCCCCAGGTACTAACAATGAAAAGTTAACTAGGACAAAGGACCCACAGCATTTGCTCGCTCAATGGACATTTAATGTGTTCAGTAGAATCTCATTTTAACGGTTTCCAGATTTATCTCAACCTACTCTTTGGAAAAGCACATCTTTTACACAATATAAATTAGGCAWTGAAGATGTACACACCAGGTGTCAGAAGCAGAACGGAGGTAATTTTAACAAGGTGAGCGATTGTGGTTGGTTTATTCCCAACTGGATCCTAGACAAAAGAAAACCTCAGACTCAGAGGTGACACTGCTTTGGCTGGTTATCATTAACATATGTATTTTCCCTGACACTGCCACATTCTTATCTGTATCCTGCTTAAACATTCTTGTTTTTATTCTTTTTTCCTTTGTATTTGCTTAATTTTTTTCATTTCCAAACTGTGCTAGCAGAGTTTTGTCTGATTTTTATTGCTTTTTTTTAAACATCAGGTTTTGTACTTTTATAATTTCTAGCATTTCATAATTAATCGACCCATCTGCTGGTCTCTATCAATTCCTCCTTTTTACTTTCCTTAGGTTTCTATTGTGGTTCTCTAGCTTCTTGAGTTAAATATTTAGTCCATTTGTTTTTGTGCTTTACTGCTCAATAATAAGAGCTGCCATCAATTTTCTTTTGAGTATAATTTTGCCTACATCATTTGATAATACATTATCCAGTTTTGATAACTGATTTCTTCCTCATCAATATTTCTTAATAGTTTACTGCTTTGATTTCCTTTAAGACCTAGTAATTATTTAGGAGATTATTTAAAATATTCCAAGGGGTTTAAATTATTTTATTATCTTTTCATTATTAATTTCTAATATATTCATAGTAGAATATAGCCAGTATAATTATCCATTCATTAACTTACTCCAGGTCTCCTTACAATCAAGTATTTTATCAATTTTTATAAAGGGCAGTAACAAATCCTTACATAGTGCTTACTATTTGATAGGCAGTTTTCAAAAATGCTTTGTATGTATTAACTCAATTTTCTCAGTAATTCTATTTCACGAATGAAGAACCTGAGGCACAAGGATGTTGCTCAAGTAATTGTAAAGTGGCAAGTAAAGTGGCAAAACTCACACTCAAAACTACTGAGTTTGGCTTTAAGTCCAGGATATTAATAAGATGTTGAATGTTTCAAGAACATTTTAAAAAATAAGATTTTTCCCCATAAAGGATTTTTCTATTTTGAAGGATTTTTTTTCTGAATGCTTTGGCCATTATTTAACATAAACCTTTTTTTTTTTTTTTTTTTTTTTTGGAGTGGATGCTTGCTTGTGAAGCCACCTATATATCTAAATAGACAGTTAAAAAAATCTCTTAATGCTATTAGTTGCATTTTTTCTTCTTCCCAACATGATTTTCAGGCCATTGTAGAAAATTGATCAAGTTTATAAATGAGGGTGAAGGCTTTCTGCAGAGTTCAGAAAAGCCAGGAAACAGAGGATACCTGGAAGTGGAAGGAGTCACTCTGGGTTGGGGCTCCCGAGTGCCTGTACCACACAATGCCTTCATTGATGTCCTGTTGGGTGAAGGTGCTGGTGGGGGTTGCTGTCCTCCCATCAGGCAGGTGCTGCCCTTGGTCTGCAGGACTGTCCGCAGGCATATTCACCAGAAGGACCACTTCCCCTAGAAAACCAGAGGACACACAATGAGGAGATCTGGGGAGAGTAAGTTAAGAGTTCTTATCCTCCTTCCCCATCCTTCTCTTTTATTTTTTTTTTTTAACTAAAAATAAATGATTGTTTTTATTTAAGATGAAGGAAAGGATGTTAATACAGAACTCAACAGATATTACTAAATTCATCTTTAGATATAGAATTACCAGTCTTTCAGCTAAAAGAACCAAGGAAAATTTACATATAAAGTTGTATAAAGGAGGCCCAAATAGTAGTTAGTGTAGGCTGTAAACACTCAAACATCAGGCATAGGATGGATTCATTTCTATACACAACTTTCTGTGCAACAATTTTCTAATCAGGAAGTTGGTATAAAAACAATAGAAAATTAGAAAACATTCAGTGAAAGATGCTCTTGGGAGAGTTCTGTTCAATGAAAATATTAATAGCTAATASTAGAAAAAATATGGCAGGCACCAGACTCTATGTGGTGGTTCAAACCCAGCTCCACCACTTCCAACTGCATGAGCTTACGTATGCTCTGTAAGTCACTGTTCTTCATCGGTAAACTAAGGATAACACAGGTTAAGCATTTGTAATGTGAAAAATCTGTAAAATAATAATCCAAATCTGAAATGCTCCAAGATCCAAAACTTTTGGAGCATCACCATGATGGTACAGTGGAAAATTCCACATTGGATCTCATGTGATGGATCATAGTCAAAATGCAGCCACATTTTAAAAATACTGTATAAAATTACTTTTGAGATATGTGCATAAGATGTATATGAAACACAGATGAATTTCCATGTTTAGACATGGATCCCATGCCAAAGACATGTCATTACAGATATGCAAATATTCCAAAATTTGAAAAAAAAAATCTGAATTCGGAAATACTTGTGGCCTTGGCCTGTTGGATAAGGGATGCTCAACTTGCAGTAAACATTTCACAAATGCTCATCCTTACTGTAATTTCTATTTAATACTTCTAAATAATGTTATTATCATCTCCATGAATTAATTCATCAGATGAAGTTCTTTAGGTTCAGAGAAGTTCAGTGGACATCACACATTTGATAAGGTAATGAGTGAGGATTTAGATCTGAAGCTCATATTCTTGGTCATGAACTTCTGTTATCAATCAAAAGTATTTTGTTTATATGTATTAGTATTAATCTTTATAAATAACTGATCACGTTTTCTCCTCCTTCATTCTTTAAACTTTATTTGGACTGAAGCAAGAAAATATAACTCTAAACACCACCAAATCTGTTTTTACTGCTTATTATTCACCTGAAGCTACTGTTGTCTTAAAGTGAGATCACAAATACAGAGGTGTTATAGAAACAATTAMAATTTCACAAGAAGAATATACCTTCAAGTGAAGTTGAAACCAAAATAGAAGAACTGCTGAAAATAAGCATATTCACACGAAAAGGCATCTAACAATAAATCTGAAAGAAGACATCCTTTCACCTTTGATAGTGAAAGGCATGGAAGAGTGTGAGGTGGAGGAGAAAAATAACATCTATGTGTTTATTTGTCTATTTTTAAAACATTCAGTAGGAGAACACCAAGTTCTTAAAACAGACATACTGGGCCATTGACAGCACATTTTTTTTTTTCCCAAAAAATTTGTAGCACATTTTAATTACCCTAGAGAAATTTATTTTCTTAGTCAAAGAAAACACTCATTCTAATATTTAGATGCTCTAAATTCAAGTTTAAAATGAGCATATTRTCCTGGATGGTAATGAAATACTGAAATATAAGAAGAAGATCACTACTCTTCTTTACAGAATCAGGTGTGGAATCAACTCACTCTRGTTTTCTTTCTTATATTATTTTTCATTTGTACCTAGTCAAAAATTCCATTACYACTCTCCCAACTCAAATTTTGTTCATAAGGTGCCGTTAATAGACATGACTTCCCAGGAGGTGGACTTTTTATGAGTGCAAATACAGCCAGAAAATATTCTGAAAGGAAATCACCACAATGCAAACGTGACAAGTAGAAGGGACAGAACACACTCAATTGCTGATTTCTTAGCTACTTGGCCTTCTAATAGAAAAGTAATGCAGAATTTTCCTAATGAGGCCTAATAAATTCTTTTTCATATAAAATTTTCTTCCATGCTATACAGATAGACAGGAATAACAGGATATTGGCCAATTTCATTAGATTCAATGCAATAAGTAGAACCCAATGGGTCTATTTACTAAACGAGGCCCTTAGAAACTAGGGGGATTCAAAGATAAGCAAGATGCAGTTCCTATCCCTAAAGATCAGCCCCCAACCAAGTGGAAGCCACTGGGAGATTCTCAGTAGGTGAATGGCATGAGCTGATTTAGAACACATAATGTGTGTGATCAGAATATAGAAAGTCTATAAAGCTTGGTAGTCCTGGTAGAGAGGCTGGAATTTATTCTATAAAAAATCACTCAAGTAATAGTAATGTGATAATAYTATGGAATAATAGGTGTGAAAATATAATAACAGGAGGATGGCAGGTTGGAGGGAGGACAAAGAGTTCAGTACTGGATGTGTTTAATACAGAAACCTTGGTGACAAGCTCAAGAGTGGACAAGGAGAAATACTGGTATTGTGTGAGAGTCACCACACAGTGGTAAGAGGCACCCTTTTCCCCCACCTCTTTCCACATTTTTTTATTAGTGCATTATAGTTGATCATATTATATAATAATATGATTTGTTATATATTCATACATGCATATAATATAATGATACAATTTGTCCAATATCACTCCCCAGAGAAACAACCTTTTCTGTAGTACCTTACCTCTGCTTCTATGATTATATCATACAAGGATATGACACAGGTTTAAAATACTGAAAATCATCTCCATTTGGGATTCCCTGTATACCAAATTTTATATTTTAACTAAGAATTTTGAAGAGAAAATTTAATAGCTATTAAGGATTAGAATCTCATTTGGAACTCCATGAATTATGTTGGGATTGAGATAATTTCTATTAACAGTTTTCTTATACTATGATGAATAATTTAGAGTTGGCAGTATGATTAAGTCAGATTGTCCCTCAAATGATGTTCAAGGTATTTTGTTAAAACCATCCCATTAAATTTATTTTCAAATCTATGAAGTAGCAAAGGGTACAAGTACTAATCAACTCATCTAAACCTTTATTTGAAGATAGTGGTGAATCAGGGAGCAGTTGAATTTAGGCCCTTTATGCACATACTATAGAAAAAAATTTATATTTATTTGCATTCCAAGGTCAACTCTTCACAAAATGCCTGGAGTCCAACCTGAACCTTCTGAAATTATAAGGGAGTTCATAGTAGCCAGGGGCCAAGGAGGTAACGCCTACACAGATGCACCTCACTGAACAGATGGAGGAAGGTAGACAGGTGTCTAGTTCCCACCACTCTTTTCACTCTTAAATAGTTCCCAAGGGTAATGTGATTTGATTACTGTTAGTAGTGAGATCTGGACACAAAGAAAGATTATGTTCACAGGAAGAAATTAATTAAGAGAGTTACAGTAAGAAAGGGATCACAATAAAGTCTACATGGCATTTATTAAGAAGAAATGGCAAACTTTTTCTGCTTAAAGCAATTTAATTCAGCATTGTTCTGTTTAATATTTGATGAAACATTGTGCTGTTTCTGTGAAATTTGGGGGCTTAGCTTTTGGCTTTTAATAATCAAGGTACAGAATTTAATATAAGAGTCTTAGATTTTTAGAGATGAAAAGGACTTAAATATTATCTAGCTTAAAATCAGTAGTTGGAAGTAAGATGAGAACAGGATGTTTATTAATTCCAAATGGGAAAACAGTAACTTAACAGTGGAGAAATTTGGCAGATATCACTTTAGCCAAGTTAACCAGCAATAAGACAGGGCCATCATGCACCTTCTGATATCGTACACTGAAAAAGGGGAAAAAGCATAATCTTAATCTAATAAAGAAAAAACCACCTGACAGACCCAAACTGAGCAGCACTCTATAAATATCTAACAAGTACTCTGCAAAAGTATTAAGGTCATTAAAGAAAAGAAGCAGAGAACTGTCACACATTGGAGGAGGCCAARGAGACACGACAATTAAATGCAAGCTGGAATTCTGGATTGGTTCAGAAAAATAGCATTAGTGAGAAGACTGGCAAAATTTGAATAAGATCTATAGATAGTTAATGTGAATTTGTTGGTTTCAATAACTGCTCTATGGTCATGTGTGATATTAACATTAGGAGAAGATGGGTAAAGTATTCAAGAACTGTGAATTATTTTTGCAACTTTTCAATTAAGTCTAAAATTATTTAAACAGGAAGTAAAAAAATTATCTGACCTAATTTCTCAAAGAAACCTATGGCCCAAGGGAGTACAGTTGCCTTCTTCACAATCATGAAGTTCTATTATATCTCAACTAGACTGTTTTATAATTATAATATCAATTCTTGATAAGATTATGCTTTCTAATGTCTGTGGACACTGGAATTATTTTCAAATTGTCTAGAGTTAATTTTTTTCCTCACTGTAGAAAATGCATAATTTTTAAAATGTGATAACCCAGAGGGGGAAAAATTATTCTTTCTCTGCTTTTTAATGTGCCAAGTGGATTTTTAGTTTTTATGAATATAATTTTCATTTTTAGATGATCAATTTAGATACTTTAAAAAAATCTGCCTAAGCTGAGTTCAGTGTCACATGCCTGTTGTCCCAGCACGTGGGAAGATGACTCATAAGGATACCTGGAGTTCAAGACCAGCCTAAAYAACACCAGACCCCACCTCAAACAAAACAAATCCACTACCTTTTCCTTTATTTATACTGCATTTTGAAATTTTCTTTCAGTTGTGACTCCTTCTTTTAGGTCTTTAAACCATTTTAAATATACCTATTTCATAGTTTTTAATGATTGTTCCTTTCTTTGAAATTCTTGGGGTTTTAATCACCTTGTTTGTTTTGGTTTTGTGTCCTCCTGTGTCTTTTGGTTTTGGGTTCTGCACTAATCCTCAGTAGATTGATCTGAGAGTCCTAGTAGCCTGGTGGAGAGTAGGCCTTGTTACAGTGGTTTATACTTCCTGCAAGGAACCCAAGAAGTGTCATTGGCCTTAGATTAATTTACATATAAAGTCTCCATTTTTGGTGTTGTGCACAAGGCATATATTTTAATTTAATCCTGGATCTGGAGGAGAAATAGGCTCGAAGTTCTAAATTCTCAGCAGACATTTTGCTCTACTCTGAGAAAGGCAGGTCTCTGTGCTGATGAGCCTCTTCTTTCCTATTCTGTCTCTCTAAGTGAAGGACCATCCTTCCAGAGCCCTGGTTTTAGGCGGGGTCTTAATTTCCGCTCCCTGTTTGTGCATGAATTTTAACTCCTAAGTTCCCAGGTTCCTGAGACAGACTGCCCCTCTCAGGGAAGCTGTACCCTGAGCTCTTGCACACTGACTCCAGTGCCTTCCTTGCTGCTGGAACCTGGAGTTTCTTGGGTGCTCAGCTATGAATGCTTTACAATCTTGGATGCTCAGCTATGAACACCTTACCCTTCTTGCTACATTTTATCCAGCGTTTTTAGGCAATGACAATGAGCAATTTCTCTGGTTAATGTATTCTACTATCTTGCTGGAAGAAATAAGAGTGGTGGATGCTGAAGAATGTTTCTGTGAAATATACTTTTTAAAATTCACATCAAGAAGTCTGGCGATGGTCTGAGAACGATTTAAGGTAGAGTTTGAGAGCCTGACTTTTGAAATTTAACTGACATCCATTAATTAGTCATTGACTGTTAACAGGCTGGTTTATCCCAGGTTTCTAGCATGCAAAATTAAGTTATTAGAAATTTAAATTAAGATTTAGCTGTTATATATAATGTATTTATAAAATTTACTCACTACCTAGCAAATGTGTGTAGTGTGGTAGGTGTGGAAATTGATCTGCTTTTAAGAGAGGTGTATAAAATTAGAGAGTTCACTGGAACTGCCACCTTGCTCATGGCATTGTATAAAAGCAAGTCCTAGACTGCTGAATGCAGAGATGAAACCATGCAAAGAAAAAAAATTTACCAAACTGGGGGTGGTCTTGTGTAATCTTGTAGACAATATCTTCAGCGTTGGCACCTGGAGCTTCAGCCTGTAAGATTCTGTTGGTAATCTGCAGCATCCCCCCTTCTGGAACCCATACCATCGAATTAGCTACAAGCCGAAGTGCTCCATCATTCTAGAATAAGGGAAAAGGGCAGAATTGGAGCCAAGCATAATAAGAACACATTAATACTGAAAAGCACTAGTTATCAGGTCCTTTTGTTGCAAAAGATCATCTGATAAGAAAGAGAGATTTATAGTTTAGAGTCATAGTATGAACCATGGGTATACATTATGTGTAGATATATGCATGTATACATTTATAAGTGTCTATATTCTGCTTTTCAATTGTTCATGAGCCAATAATTTACATCATTCTCCATTTCTTTCTTTCTGTCTCTCCATTTCTTTCCTTCTTTTGTCCATCTACCTGCCCTTCTGTTCTCACCATCCACTATATTCAAAAGAGTTATTTATTGAGTACCTATTCATGCCAGCTCCTTTGCTACAGAACTGGAATATGCAACAATGTTTGAAAGCAAGATCTCAACTTCAGAAGGAGCGACACACAATTATCAAATAATTAGGACATTTCACAGTGATGCTCTTTAAGAAGCTTCAGCAGGGAGCCATGAGGCCATAGAAGAAGGAACTCTCCCGAAGATTTTCCTAAAGAAGAATCATTCATTTCTGAATAACAGAAAAAAATGGGCTTCCTAAGTAGTGAAGTGGTGAAACAGATTTTAGGCAGAGGGCCCAGTTTAAGCAAAGGCAAAAATGCGAGACCACATATTGTGTTTGATAAATGTCCAACTGTTTGGCGCCAGTAGAGCTGAGGAAACCAGGGGAAGGGTGGATACAAAGTGAGAGTGTCTTCTGGAAGGCTACTAAAAAGTAGAAGCTATTCTAAAAGTCTCAATTCATCTTATCAGCACTGGAAAGAAAACAGGTGTCTTCAGGGAAGGAAATGGGATGATCCCACTGATGGAATGATCAGCCTGTCTTTAGAAAGATAGCCTCCAAGGGCAAGAGATGGAGGTGACTAGCATTGGGATGAATCTGGAGCTGGAGAAATCATTTAACAAGTTCTTGCAATGGCTCAGGGGAGAGGAGATCAAGGCCTGTAAGAGGGTAATTGCAATGGGAATGAATAGTTAGAAACAGATCCTAGAAACACTACAGAGTGAAATGGACAGGCCTGATGGCTGATTGAAAGTGAGCGACCAAAAGTAGAGAGTAGCTGGCTGGAAGAAATCACCTATTTAGCACTCCTGAGAAAGCCACCACTTTAATTGCTAAACTAATGTCATTAAAAAGTGCTGCCATTCCTGATTTACAAGGTGTACACCCTCTTCCCAAACCTCATAATTGACATTTTCCACAGAATGTGATTAGTGTCGACCAAGGCTCAGTTTTCCATTTGTTTTTGTACTTCAAAAATCAGTRAATCTGGTATTTTAAAACAGGACATTTCAGAAAGAATGGTTTTCTAAATTATTGTTGTTATTTTTGGATATGCCAATAAACAACACAGCAAACAGCACACTCAGGAGAACACTCAGAAGAGAAAGCAACAGCTATTCTTTTGCAATTACTAGGCACTTAAGCATTTCACCTCTAAGAAGTCAGTCATGCCCATTTTCACCACATGTATCAAGAAACTGAGTCAAATGGTGCCCAAGAGAACAGTCATGAAGGCACTTTCTATGCTGATTTGTGCTCAGGGGCAAAATCCCAGAGAATTTTCTCTTTCGCAATGGATCTAGCATGCTATTTACGGAAACATCAAAAGTATGTCAGTAATTTTGCATATAGTCTACCAGAATTCTGGGAGAAAAGGCTCTAAATCCAAGAGAATTTAAAATGCCCTGACACACTGGGACACAGGTTTCATAACTGCAAAGAATATTTCTAATAGAAGCAGCCTAGTCAACTTTAATTTTGGTTATAGAGATCAATTATATGTCAATAATATTACATTACTGGACTAAATAGGCAATGCAGTTTTTTTTGTTTGTTTGTTTATTTTATTCTAAGCAACTAAGTACTGGAACCTGAGCACACATTTCCCAGATGGCTCTTTACTACATCTCTGTCTTGACTGTACTTTACCAATACAATTCTTTATTATTCCTGTGTGACTATTTAGGAAATAGTACAACTTGTAACTCAGAGCTTAGATAACAGTAGCACCTAGAAACTCAAGATCCATAGAATCTTGGCCCTTACCCCAGATCTTCTGAATCAGACCTCCTGAATAGGAATCCACATTTGAAAAAGTATCCAAGAGATGTGCAGTCATGCTCAAGTACCAAGAACTATTTTCAGATTAGAGACTACAATCTTTAGAGTGGCTCACAGTAGATCTTTGAGAATATTTAAGCTTAAAATGAATAGTATATATGCCTCCGATTCTGAGTTATTGCTTTTGGTACTTAAGAAGAAATGGAAATGACACTAAGGATAAGAASTACAATTCTTGGATGTCAACAAGATGGTAGAATAGGTGGTTTTATCCCCCACGCCCAAGAAACCCTATAAAATGTTTTGTAGTGCCGAGGATCAAACCCATGGCCTTGTGCATGCTAAGTAAGCATTTTACCACTAAGCTACACACCTAGCCCTAGAAACCTAATTTTAACTACCATCCATAGATAACTATCTTCATCAAAGCCCATGAGTCCAGCTAAAAGGTTTCAGCACCTTGGTGGAACACTGAAAAGGATAAGAAAACTCTTTCATTTAATCCATATCATCCTCTTCAAGATGGTACAGTTCAGTGCCAAGAGAAAAGGGCACAAAGCTTATTTAAAGAAATAATGAGCCAGGTACAGTGGCACACACCTGTAATCCCAGTTATTTGGGAGGCTGAGGCAGGAGGATTTAGAGTTCAAAGTCAGCCTCAGCAAAAGCGAGGTGCTAAGTAACTCAGTGAGACCCTGTCTCTAAATAAAATACAAAATAGAGCTGGGGATGTGGCTCAGTGGCCGAGTGCCCCTGAGTTCAATCCCCAGTACCCTCCACCCCTCAGAAGAAGAGAGAGAAACCCCCAGAAATCTAGAATTCTGTATACCACAAACACACCCTTCAGAAACAAAGGATTAGACAGAGGGGAGTGAAGGGAGGGGAGGGGGCATGAAGGATAGTAGAATGAATCGGACATTGTTACCCTACGTATTACCCTATGACTACATGACCAGTATGATTCTACATCATGTACAACCAGAATGAGAAGCTGAATTCCACTTATAATTAATGTGTCAAAATGCATTCTACTGTCATGTGTAACTATTTAGAASAAATTAAAAAATTTTAAAAAGTTGTTAAGTGATGTCAGGTCCAAAAATTCACAAACTGTATGATTCCACTTAAATATAACATCCAGAGTGGGTAAAAACATAGCAACAAAAAGCAGATTGTTGTTTAGCAAGGGCTTGCGGGTGGAGGCGTGAGGGGGCAAGGGAACTAGGAATAACTACTCTAACAGGTGTAAGGTTTCATTTTGGAGGGAAGGGTGTGTTTTGGAATTAGCTCTAGGCAGTGGTTGTACAACCTTATAAATGCATTAAATGTTACTGAATTATTCACCTTAAAATAGTTTATTGCATTTCATGTGAACTTCATCTCAATAAATTAACAAAACAAAACAGAAGCAATGACAGAAAAATTTTCAAATCTGGGAGGGAAATGAACATACAGATTAATGAAGCCCAAAGAACTGCAAATAGATTGAACATAAACTCTTCATCAAAGCACATTCTCAAGAGAAAAATCGCCTATCACATGCAAGGAACCCTGGAAGACTAGCAGTGGATCACTCAGCAGAAATCTTGTAGGCCAGGTAAGTGGAATGATAACCAAAATGTTTAAAGATGAAAACTGCCAACCAAGAATAATTTACCGGCAAAGCTGTCATTCAGAAATTAAGACGAGATAAAGACTTTCCTAAACAAAAGCCAACAGAATTTATCATGACTGGGCCTGTCTCACAAGAAATGCCAAAGTTCTTCAAGTTGAAATGAAAAAAAGTTAATTAGCAACATGAAAACACATGAAAGTAGAAAACATGGCTAAAGCAAAGTACAGCTGGCCTTCTGTATCCATGGGTTCCAAAAATATGGATTCACCCAACTACAGGCAAAAAATTCCGGGGGAAAAAAAATCATGTGTATAATGAACATGTAGAAACTTTTCTAGTCATTATTCCCTACATACAACATAACTACTATTTACATAGTCATGGTAATTAATGACTCTAGTATAAAAGTTAAAAGAAAAAATTATTAAAAATAATGATAGCTATAAAACTTACTAATGGATTTATGACTTACAGGGATATAAATTATAATACCAATAACAAAATGGTGAGAGACAGGGAGACATAAAAGTGGAGAGTTTTGTACGTGATTGAAGAGACATTGTTATCAGCTTATAATGAACTATTATAGCTATAAGAGGTTTTATAAGCCTCATGGTAGTCACAAAAGAGTCTGCAGTGGATATACAAAAGATGGAGACAAAGGAATCAATGTATACCACTACAAAAAAAAGTCATCAAATTACAAAGGAAAACAGAATATTATTCAGCTTCAAGGAAGAAGGAAATCCTGTATTTGTAACATGGATGGACTTGGGCGGACATTTAGCTAAGTGAAATAAGCCAGACACAGAAAGAAAACAACTGGAAGATCTTGCTTATATATGGAATCTAAAACAGTCAAACTTATAGAAGCAGAGAGTAGAACAGCAGTTGATGGAAGCTACAAGACAGGAAATACGGAGATAACAGTAAAAAGGACATAAAGTTTCAGTTCTACAAGACATAAATTCTGAGATCTATATAGCATAATGACTAAAGCTAACAATGCTGTATGGGAGACTTCAAAATTACTCAGAGGAGCTATCTTAGGTAAAATGTTCTTACCATAAAGAGAAGTAATAACATTAAAGGGTCAGGAGGGAACTTTGGTTGGTGATGGTGTCTATGACTCTGAAGTGATGATGGTTTTATGGGAGTGTACCTATCTCCAAACTCATTGAGTTGTGCATATTAAATACAGAGAGGTTTTTACTTACCAATCATTCTCAATAAAGTAGTTTAAAACAAAGAAATACAAATCTTCCCACTCATCATGATGATGTTTTTTTTTGTTGTTGTTGTTTTGTTTTCTTCTGGGAGAGGGTGAGGAAATATTTGAGAACAGATGGCTAGAAGTTCTTTTCTATAGGTAAAGTGTCCAAAAAGCCAATTTTTAACCTAATTTTCCCAGTGACTCTGACATTTTGGAATTTGTCTCCTTGTAGGTTTTTTTTTTTTCTTGCACATTGGCTCATATATCCCTGTCAGCTCAAGAAATTAGCTATATTACTAGTTGAATAATCTCCTGCCCAATGAGGTTTGATAAATCCTCCAGAGTACATTAGCAGGCGATGAAAGTTCAACAAGTAAAATTGAGGGCGTGATTAAAACAGTACTTTATATTAAATAGTTCTTCTAATTCATTTCATAGAACAATAGGCAAGCAAATGTTGGTTATAAAGTTTAGCCATTACATATTTATTATATTTGAGTAAAAATATTAATGTTTCAAACCAGAAGTAAGAGCATAAGCCTCCATCCTTTGGGGGGAAAATCTCAYAAACAAAATGAAAGCTCCCGATCCCATAAATTAAAAATTAAAATTACATCAATGATGTAACTTTAGCTCAAATGATAGTGTACTCCAACTCCTAGCTAAAATATGCAAGACAAAGTTTTAAAAACCTCACTCTTTGGAAAATGACTAAAGTTGGATATAACAGTGACCCTATCATTTTACTTACTCTGTAAAAATATGCTTTAATTCGTAAGATTTCATTTATACCATCACTTTTAAGATTTAATGTAGTAGGACTTTGTGAACTTTAGGTTAGGAGCATGTGGTGTGACMGATATAAGGTCAAATTTATCAGCAGGAAGAAAGAGGGGAAGCTAATTTGAAAGTTTCTGTGTTTGTTAAGGTGGGCATGAGCCTCAGAGGCTTGCTACTTCAGGTCAGAAATATAGGACCTTTGCTTCAGGTACATTTCTACTGATGTAAATATTCATATCAACAAAATGTTTCTGAGCATGCACTTTTTCAGACACTGAATTAAATAGGCTAAGGTAAGTCCTGCCAAAAGGTAAAACCCTGACATGTGGCAAGGATTTGTTTATTTGGGAAACAGGCTCTTATTCATACAAATAAACATTTTTTTTTTTACCATTGATAACTGTAATTCTTACAAACATCATTATTATCAAACTAACTGTATCCTTGTAAGACCACCAATGAAAGGCAGTCATTGATGAAACTGAGGGGAAACACAACAGTGCTTTGTAGCTGCMCATAGGCATTACCACAGCTAGAAATGGCCCACCAGGATAGAATTTTCAATCCAGTGCATAGTATGACAGTGGGGGCTTTTAACATTAAAGCATTACCCGGCTGCAGAAAACAACCATCCAAACAACAATAAACAAGGTCAGAAAGATCATCAGATTTATTATCAGAATAGAAAAAAGGCATGATTTCCATAGGCACCTTTATTAATGAGAAAGCAGATAATTCCTTGCAAGTCCAGGAGTAGAAAGAAGCCCACCAGATTTCTTTCCCCAGGCCAGTTTAGCCCTTATTGGATGTTGAATTACTTTGGAATCATCTCTCTAGCAGACTTGGGGTTGGTAATCCACCCAATTAATGAAAGCCTGTTCAGCAGGGCTTTCTCKTTATTACTTTTTCTTTCTTTCTTTTTGCCTCCTTCCTCTAACTGGACATGTTTCAGCATCAATCCTGGTTCCATTTCCTCAGCAGCTCAGTACAAGCCTGGAGGTGGCAGTCAAGTTTATTCACTGCCAGGCCAAGTTTGGGGGAACTGGTGTATAACTTGAAAAACCAGGGTGAACAAACAGCTCCTCCACTCAGTGCCCGGTGAGCCTCCCCTCAGGCAGCAGAGGTGCTGGGGTGCTTCTCATCTAACACAGAAACCTATGGCAAGACAGGGACACAGGCACCTGCCCCCTCAGGCCCTTGCATCCGTCACTCATCTACCCAGCCCACAGAAATGCACCCAACCCCTATAATATGCTGGGCTCAAGACACTAAAACTGAAATAGTCCCTCTTCTCACAAAGATTCCTTTTTCAATTCCTTCCTCTCAGAAGGAATAGAGAAACAGGCTAAGTTTCTGTTGAACAATATTAGGGTTAATTAGTACATCCATTCACTAAACTGAAATCCTTTGGCCATTCCATTTAAGCTGCCAGCTAGACATCAGCCAATAACTGGTCCCTCTCCAAATTTAACATACAAGTAGCCTCAGGCTAAGATCTCTCATGCCATCTTCCAAAATGGCTATCAGAATGAAACCAATCATGTCTGACGGCATAACTACTGGATGCGGTAGCAACTGAGGTCATTTTTCTCTTCTTGTGCCCAGTAGATTTCTGATAATAAATAGYCTGGCTTGTAATAAGCTGTGGTTAAGTCCAAAGGGAAGAGTCCAGGAGGCTTGGGGCCCAGTCTTTTTGGACAGGACATTAAGAAAATGACTAAATAATCATCTTAATTTTATCCATGTAGGAAATAAGAATATGTGTGACCCAAACATGGAAAAACAAAGGCCAGAAAGAAAAGAGTCTGATAGTTAAACACAGGAGGCAGATGCACTTGAAATGAAATCACAGCCCCAGCCCTAAGCACCTTTATACAGATGAATGTTGTCAAACTTCTTTACACTTTAGTTTCCTCTTTTGGAAAATCAACGATAATTGTACAAATATCACAGAATAAATCTGCGATTCAAAAGGAACAATTCACATCACACTTTAGTGTCCAATAAATGTTAAAAAAACAAAACAAACAAACAAACAAAAAAACCCCCTTCCACTCATGGTAGAATTTCCTCTAGAAGAAATAAGGTCATAATAGTTGCTATCTTAACCTTCTTCAGCAAGATAGCATAAGCATCAGTAGAAGTGGTAGAAGGAAAAAGATTCTGAGTTTCTAAAGGGAAAAATAGTCTATATTTGTATGATATTATCAAATTACATTCAAGATTATTAGCATATCCTGTTGCACGCAAAGGCTCTGGCCACTGGCTTCACTGTTCCTCTTCATGTTTAAGAGTGACGTCATAGATCCATAACCACAGCAGTATATGAGATGGTGAGATGGAAAGGGGGAAGGGAGAGGGCCAACCCATACTCCATTTAGGAATCACAAGCAGACACATTAAAAACACATGACTTGCAAGTTACAAGGACTTCAAGGACTCCAAACCTCTGTGCCTTCTATCTCATTTAAGGATGAAAATTCTATTTTTATTAGTTTTGTTAGTCAATGCAGCTAAAATCCTAGAAATGCCCTTCAGCTGTGAGCCTTTCCACACAAAATGATTGTGTAATACAATGAACTGAACTCCCAACATGGAGACTGGAACCACATTAGGAAAGGTGGCCATGAGGGTTGCACTGAAATCTAGGACGGCCTCTGGAAAAAAAACAAGGAAGGGAGAAACTTTCTGCATCTGTCTAGACTTCATCTCTTCATAACTAACCCTCATCTCCCAGGGTGACTGCAGGAGAGTGATAATTAGGATTAGCTACGAGGTGGCCATCTGCCAACTCCATCTCCTAATCAGCCTTTACGTCCTCCCATCTCYCTCGCTCGCTACCATCACTGTGTTCAGCAGCTGAAAATGATGAGACAAGAGACTAAGAAACTAGTTAGCAGACCATATTAGATTCAATTGCTTCCCTTCAGGAGGCTCCACTGCAAATTTAGAGTGATCATTGGTGAGAAAGTGACAAGTGATTTTAAACTGTCCTCAGCAAGTCAATCTCTCAAGCTAATCACTAGTGACAACTCTGTAGGTAGTGATATTTGGAATGAAAAGTTAAAAAAAAAATGTGTTTTCTAAACTACTGCCATGGAAAAGAGGCACTCAGGATGCTACTGAGAAACGGTCTTCTATTCAAATATCACTAAATTTTGAAAAGAAGATTTTGGGGAGTACTGGGGATTGAACCACTGAGCTATATTCTACTACATTCTAAGCCTTTTTTTTTTTTTTAATTTTGAAACAGGGTTTCACTAAGTTGCTGTGAGTCTCACTAAATTGCTGAGACTAACCTCAAACTTGTGATCCTCCTGCCTCAGCCGCCTCAGCTACTGGGATATAGGTGTGCACCACCGTGCCCAGACTTGAAAATATTTTTCAGTAGGACTATGTGATCTAGCATAGGTTAGCTCAGTATTTCGTAAAGTGTGATAACCATCTCATTTGTAATATCCAAAAATGTAGTACATGGATAAAATTTTATAGAAATGTTATATTTTAATATTTCAGAAAAGTATAATATAGACATTAGGTCCATGATTATATCAATATAATTTGTTAGAATGAGGTCTCACACACACACAAACCAAATCGTTTCAAAGAAAAATAATAAGTAAATAATAACACCAGCTCTCGTGGAAATAGGAAAAAAATAAGGTGACACATCAGTGACTCAGAATGATAAACACACTTTTAGCCCCTAGGCCAAAGACCCTTATGATTACCAAAAAAGAGGGTTCCTTTATCCCTGTTAGCTAACAGGCTAACAGGATGGCTGAACTCTCCCCTTTAATTCATTAAGATTACTGACCAAGGGTTTCTCATTCCATGAGCTGTTTTAGAAGGGCAGACAAATACCAAGATGCCTTGATTCTCAGGCAGGAGACAAAAGGATCAGTGAATAATAATACAGTTTTACAGGAGTAGGTCAACAAAAAGAGTTGCAAATCATCCCATTTATAGAGATCAAGTGTGTTCCTAACAAGATATATTACTGCCCAAATACATTACTTATATAATAGGCACTTAATGAGCACCCATGTAATAGGTTATGCTYGAATAAATGAATAACTACCCATATCCTAACTTTATAAGCATTGCAAAATATTATCAGTGAACTTCATATTTAGGTGCAAGGAATGAAACTAGAATGACACTCACCTTGGGCACAGTCTTCACATGAAACAGTATATTTTGGAAGGAGTGTCCATCATTGGCCTGCAAGACCACAACATCAGATGTGCTCTCTGAGCCATCGTGAGCATAGAGGAGAAGGCCCCTAGAGAGTTCATCAAGCCGGAAATGATAGATAGGGGTTGTGGGGGACTGAAGAGTTTGGAGCAATTGGCCATGAAGTGGAGGATCAAGTACTTCGATGACCACATCCTGGGGATTGTCATCATCTCGAATGTCAAGGAGCTGGGTGGTGATGGTTCCCCGCTCTCCTCTGCTAATGTGGAGAACCTCATTTCTCAGCACATATGGGGCCTGTGGAGTTGAAGGGAAGCAGGGAAGAATAGTCATTTACTAGGAAAGAGAGGGTAACTCAGAGGATCAGTGTGGCAACCTGATTGATATTTCTATGCCTTTTAAGAAACTGTAGGTGCTCTGGCAAAGTAATAGCCCTGTGCCATGGTGAAAGCATTTGTCAGAGGTGCAGCTGGTCATAGTAAGAACAGTGGTTGCAGATACTTATATCTCTGGACTCTGGAGGTTTCTCAAATCAATTTAAGACCATAGTCATGATAAGAGGCAATCAAAAAGGGCTACCAGCTTCTAAATTTCTATTTCATCTGCTCAGCTTCTAAATTTCTATTTCATCTGCTCTCTTGATTTGCACTATATCCTCTACATTGTTAGTGAAATCAGCTCAGTATCAGGAAGGCCAGTCAGTTATCTGCATTCAATAAAGACTAACAGGAGCTATAGAATTTTTGAACTCGCCTTTGGAAGTTAAGTGCTTCACTCTAGGCCACTATGCAATATGCTGACTCAGAGTAAGGCACTTTTGCTTTCTGAAGTCATACTATTTCTGGTCCCTCCCAGCAAGTTTTTTCAAGTTCTCCCATTCAAATCTTGACAGAGTCCCATCCCAGTTCAGCTTAGAAAGCCCATGAGATTATGATCTGGATGAGTCAGGCAACCACCTGGTTAATTCGTACAACACTGCTAATATAGCAAACTTTAATGTTTTCCTTGGGATTGTTTGGTTCCCCCCACCAACTTGAGTAAGCAGATAAAATGTTCTTTCACGAAGAAAAAAGTTAGTGAGTCACAACAGAAAAAACCTCATACACATACACTCAACGAGGCCAGAAGCCAAAGAAAACATTTTCTTCGTTTTTTTTTAATACCATTTGAAGTTGAACCATCTAAGACTTTTCTCAACATATTGTCTTCTTTATTCCAAATGGCTTTTTAAAAAAACTACTCAAGCACCTTCCTGGCCTCCTGGAAATTAAAATTTCCATTAAAGTAATGTTTAACTAATGCATCATTATGATAATCACATAGTGGAAAATTAGATGGTAGCTACTCCTCAAAATTCCTGAGAATTCTAAAGCTGTGAGTTTATACATGGGAATGAATGGCCCCTCATATTCTGAAAGAGGAAAGGTCAGAGGTGATGTCAAAGTCCATAAATAGACTAATTTAGTTACATGAGAAAATTTTAGGGAAGCTCAACACTATATTGAAATAACTCAAAATTTAAAGGAACAAAAATAAGTTAAAATTTCTTTTTAAAATTCCACTTTAAAAAGTTAAAATGATAAGAGTTTATCATATAATACATAAATAAAATGTGCCCTCATTATCTACTCACTTAGAGAAAGTGGAAAACAGACAAAACTCAAAAACTGTGGGAACTCATCATCTCAGATTAGAAAGTTACCCGCTAATACCTACCTAGGTCTTTTATTGGAGTAACTATATTAGCCCAAATGAAGAGGTCAAAGCAAAATGTTTAAGAATTAAGGAGTACCTAAGCCAGTGTCCTAAGGTGAATTTGGCCCTTTGGCCTATATTTACAGAGATGACATGTATTAGCTTTAATTAAAACAAAATTTACACACTTAAGTAGGATTAATTTCTAATCACTCCTAAACTTCAAGTTATCCCTGACGTGATAATATCATTAAGAAGAACTGAGTTGGGTTATTAACACCATGTGGCAGTCACTTCTTCAAGTCTATGTTGTCCTTCACTTTTTTTTTTCATTTTTGATCAAAAAGATAAAAATATGAGTTAAAAACAATAATCTAGTGTCCTTCCTGGAATCATGATTAATGCAATAATAAGGTCTGGATATTTAGGTAGTCTTAGTTCTCAACATCATGTCCTTGCTATTAATGATGTATGCGCACGCGCGTGCGCGCACACACACACACACACACACACACACACACCATCTTCCTATTGTTTTAGCACATTTTAGCTGTTCAGTCCCTCAAGCCCAGTTCTCAGAGCTTCTACCGCCGTGTGTATTCTGGACACATAAGTACAACTTGACAGAGTGAGTGATAAGAGATGAGTGTGAAGGGCCATTACAGTGTGTCTTATAGCTTCTACCATGATTTCCTCAGATCTGTGTTTGGCTGACGACCACACTGACACCTCATGTAGGAGCTGATGTAAGATCCTCCAACGACTAACGATTCTAAACCCTTAAGAGAGAAATACTGAAGTAAAATAAACTTATTTACCTAAGAATAAGGGAAGTCTTCACAACTGGAACAGCTTTATTCTGCAGGACTAGTGTCAGGTTCGGTATAGTAAAGAACGTCACCACAAGATAACGGTTTGGACCACAGACTCTGAAGCCAGATCTGCTGGGCACAGATCTTGACTATTAGCTACAACACTGCAGACACGTTATATAACCCCCTTGTGCCTTAGTTTCCTCATCTATAAACTGGGGATAACAGTATGTCATGAGATTGGTGTGTATATCAACTGATAACTTATGTGAAACACTAAGAACTATACATGCATTAGTAATTGCTATTGTTGATGTTATTATCAAAAGTACTAAAAATTACTCAAGAGGCATTTCATGATAAAACTAAGATTAATATAGTTCAATCATTTTTGCTAAAACTGAAAGAAGGCTTAATTTGTTCTTGAGAATTAGTAAGCATGTGAAATTGTTAACGGCTCGGTATTTTTATTACCTGTGTTGAAAACGCTTGTATGTTGATCAGTTGTGGTTCAGAGAAGAACTGCTGGTCACTAATTTTCAAGGAAAAGTAACCTTTCCTAAAAAGTACCCCCAAAAGGAATGAGAAAATACAATCATTAAATTATTCTGTAGAAAGTTAAGGATCAAAAATATTTTCAGGTTACATGTATGTAAAAATTTGGATCAAACCGCTACAGTAATATAATATCTGAACTGTAAACAGAAATTACCATTCGATGCAGGTAAAAATGCTTTGTGTTCTTATCTTAGACCTTGTTATAACATAATAATAATATGACTATTCTGTTCCCTGTTTTTCTAAACTGAATATACAAACAGCTGAAATATTAGTTGTCAGGCCAAGATAGGTTAGTGACACATTATTATATGTTATAGAATGGAAAGGAATCTAGTATAGTCTCTGACCAGTTCCCAGTGATTCCTTCTTTCAACAAACCTTCCTTCCAGCTCTTTCCCGATTCATAGGAGTGGACACCCAATGACAATGTTTGCAGTATCTATCTCCCTACCACTCCAACATTCATTGTGGACAATACTAGGGAAAGAATGGCTTGTTCTTCCTTGGAAATTTGGACTTGGCCTGAGTCAATCTCACCATTTTACTACAGTATAACCAGAACCTACCATGTGAATGAGAATATGGAACAAGCCTGCCTGTGGGAGACAGGTCCATGAAGCTTATGAGCAAGGAGACACAGGGATGAGAGAAGGTTTGAGTCCTGCTTCACATTTCCAGTTCTAGCTTCTGGACTTGCCCTGGAGCACCAGTGCTCTTCAAGTCTTTGAGATCTGAGCCACCTCTGCAACGTTATAATAAGCCTCACTCTTTTGTTTAATCTAGTTCAAGTTGATTTTCATTACTTGCAACCAAACAGTCCCAATTAACAATAAAAGAAGGATCACTCTTTGCTGTGGGTTGAATCTCTTTAAAGGAGTTTTGTTCCAGCAGCTTAGAGACTGTTGGAGGGGCAGGGATGAGTTGCCCACCTTTAAAAGCTGATCCAAGCACAGAACTCACCACTGGCTGGTGATATATGTGGTTAATGCACCATGGGAGCTTTGGAATTCTTGACTACTGCAGGGACCATTGTTTCAAAGGTTCTTTAAAAGGTATTCTTGGAACTAACTATTTATACTTGAAAGAATGTGGGTGGATCTCAAAAGCATTGTAGAAAATGCCAGAAGCAAAAGACCACATACTGTCTGATTGCATTCACAGGATATTTTAGAAAGGGTAAAACTACAGGGCTAAAAAACCAGATCAGGTGCTGGAAGGAAAGGAGTAACTATAAAAAGGGTATTTTGGGGATGGGAGGTGATGGAACTCTTTTATGTCTTGACTGTGGTAACAAGATCATATAGATTTGTTAACACTCATAGAACAGCATGCTTTAAAATAGGGAATTTTATTGAATGCAAATTATAGCCCAATAAACCTGACTTTTTAAAAAATGTATTCTTGCCTTCCCTCCTATTCCAACCACTCTTTCCTTTTCTGCCCCATCTAAATCCTGCCCCTCTTTGCTCCCACCTCCAAGCTTCAAGAGAATGCAACTGACAGAAACAATGGAAAGAACCAAGAAGGAGAAATGATTTTTGGTGGCACTCTGCATCTAAGCACTACCAGCTTTTAACATAGTCACTCTGACTACATTTACAAGTTATCTTTTACTCCACAGCAGCATTCTAATCCCGGGGCAATCCAATCCTAAAGAATTTTCATCAACGAATCATGGTCAGTATTTTCATGGCAAAGAACAAAACCCACAAACTTATGCAGCAAGCATAAGTTTTTCTTTTTCTTCTCTGTCATTCAAAGACAATTTTAATTTTCACAAGTTTTTAACAACCTCATTTTATTATTCTTCTGTTATTTCTTTGGTTTTAATTTTTAGGTRAAGAAAATCCAGTATTAAAATAGGTACCTAGAAAAAGAGATGTGTAGGAATTCCCTAAACTGTCATTCTTTGTCCTAYTTAGGGGTACAAAGCTTAAGATTCTGCAGGTTATGTGAGGTTAAAGATGTTAAATAGAGAAGAGGGTTAATGTTGGTTGTCTGTGAAGCTTTACACTTTTCACAAGGGATTCTACTGTGAAGCTCTGTGTGTCTGTGTCTGTGTCTGTGTGCATGAGAGAGAGAGAGAGAGAGAAAGAAAAATGTGGATATTTAAGAACTATACTTGTAGCAAAAATAAATGGAGAAATGGAGCAGGGATTTGATGAGTGACTCTGTGGCTTCAAATAATCCATCTCCGTAGCACAATATTTTTCTCTGTGTAGTGATCTTAGCCCCTTGAGGATGAAAGCAGGCCTATTGTCCCTATAATATTGGGGAGGCAGATATCATTGTGGCTAGAGGCATGGGTTGTGGACTCAGAGAATGTCAGGTTGGAGTCTCAGCTCTAGACTCTCAGGTTATGAGGTCTTATGCAAAATATCCCAGGTCTCRGTTTTCTTATCTGTAGACTGAGAACACATATAATTCATACACATAATTCATGTAAAAAATTTAACATAATGCCTGGCTCAAAGCTAGCACTCAGTAAATGTTGCTCTTATTCCTAGAATATGACCTTCTGAGGTTACTGACATCATCAGCTCTGAATTATCACAGAGAAAGTGCCATCTATTTTTCTCCCCACTTACGGCTTTGCCTGAGTCTCAAAATAAATAAGTAACAAAAATAATAAAAGAAAATCCTCAAATTTAGTATTGACAGTGAGAATATTCACTGTGTTCTTATGGTTTCGTGGTCTTCAAATCATTATTTACACAAATAGTCTATGGTGAATTATCTGCACTAATGAAGCAGAGCACGGTGAAGGAGAATCCAAGAGGCTAATCTTTGGGATGCATTCTCTGATTTCTGTTTAGTAGATTTACTCTGCTAATCATGGGGCTATATTTGCTTGGGTTAGTTTTAACATTCAATTGAATTCCTGAAGCATATGTCAGCTGGGTGGGGAAGATAGCCAGATATGTGTAAAGTATCAGGAGAAAACTGGATGGGGCTTAGAAATTAGCCACAATTAATCTTATAATGTGGATAATAAAAAGTTAACTATGACTCTAAGTTTCCTTCCAACTCTGAAATTCCAGGGACCACATCACACCTTGAAAACCACGTGCTCCATTCTTTATCTGCCCGCTATTCCCTGTATGTTATGCTCATGGGGAAGAAGCAACTCTAGCATCTGGCTATATAACCAGTTTTGTTTCTACTGGGCCAAAAAAGTGGGTAATTATACTCAGAATTTTCCTGTCACATCAGAGAATTACCCATAATTATGTGATAAAATGAAAATGTCTCAAACAGAAGTACATTCTCTGAACAATTACAGGGACATGATGACAGGCAGCTGAACACATTTGAGGAGTATTGATCTTCCCCAGATGGGAAGGGTTAGCTATTAAAAAAGAGGAGGTGGGGGCCAGAGCAATGATGGAAAAGAGGTGGGGGGAAATCAGCAACATTGACTCACCTGAGCTTTTCTTTGCTGTGTATAAAGCGCACTTTCTTCTCATTCACATCTTTCCAGCTAAAATGGCCAGCCTTGTCCAGCTGAGACTCTTTTCCATTTCTTGAGAGCACCAGCTGACCATTGGTGGGAGTGCTCACAACATGGAATAGGAGGTCTTCCACCCTGCCATCCTGGTGTTGGATGTTCAGGAGGGAAAAGTCCAGTGGCCTCATTGAACCAATTGTAAGGATCAAGGAGCCATTCACATGAAGGCTGGGAGTGTGCATCTTGCCTGAAAAACATACAAATCCAAAGCTCAGGCTTGTCACATTCACTAAGTAGGTCTTATTTATTTGCTTTAAAGAAATAGACTTGTAATGTTAATTCAGAACTGTACAGAGGAGACTCTAGGCTATTACAGAACATAAGCATCTTTCTAACTCAGTGATTGTTCCCCTAGATGCACATGAGAATGACACAGGACTTCAATGGAAGAGTTAAACCATAAAATTGTTAGAAGACAAGCTGGCTGCAGGGGCATGCACCTGTAATCTCAGCTACAAGGGAGGCTGAAGCAAGCAGATCATGAGCTGGGGGCCAGCCTGGGCAACACAGTGATAYCCTGACTTTGGGGGGAAAAAACTGTAAGACAAGACTGGAGTAGAATTTTTGTGGTTCTGAATTAAGCAATGCTTTCTTATGGCACAAAAAGCACAAGTGACAAAAGAAAAAAAAATAGGTAAGTTGGACATCACCAAATTAAAAACTTTTGTGCTTCACCAAAGTGAAAAGACAACTCATAGAAGGGGAGAACAYGTTTGCAAATCACACATCTGAAAAATGACTTATATCCAGAATCTATAAAGGACTCCTTTAACTCAACAATAGAAGAAAAAGAAAACCAATTTTAAAAAAGGGTAAAAATTTTAGTAGGCATTTCCACAAAGAAGATATGATATGCACATGAACAGTGCACAACCTTCATCACCAAGGAAATGTAAATCTAAACCACAACTTCATAGCACTTCACTTTCGATAGGAGAGTTGATAAAAAGTGCAGGTGAGGATGTGGATAAATGGGAACCCTTGCACATTGTTACTGGAAGTATAAGATGGTGCAGTCATTTGGTAATACAGTTGCACAGCTCCTCAATTAAACATAGTACCATATGACCTAGGAATTCCACTCCCAGGTTTACACCCAGGAGAATTAAAAATGTATGCCCACACAAAGACTTGTACATGAATGTTCAGAGCAGCATTTCATAATATCCAAAGAGAAAATATTGCAAAAAAATATATATCCATTGATGAATAATAGATAATCAAGGGTTTGGGATATGGGGATGTGACTCAATGGTAGAGTGCTTCCCTAAATGCATGAAGCTCCAGGTTTGATTCCTAGGACTAGAGGGGGGAGGTAAGTAGTTCTGGAGGGGGGTGCTCAAAAAATGTGGTATATCCATGCAATTTCATATTATTTATCCATAAGAAGAAAATAAATTGATGTACTAATACAAAATACAATGTGGATGAACCTTAAAAATATTATGCTAAGAATCCACATAAAAGAGGAAACATTGTGTGATCCCATTTATGTCTAGAACAGGCAAATGCATAGAGACAGAAACTAGATTAGTGATTGTCAGGGTCTAGAATGACATAAAAATGCACAGAGATTACTATGGTTATGGGTTTCTCTTATGATGATAAAAATATTCTGGAATTAGATTTTGGTGATAGTTATACAGCTTTGTCACTACACTAAAAACCACTGGGGTATACACTTTAATTTTTGGATTTTATGTTTGAATTATATCTCAATAACAATAACAAAGAATCATATAGGGATCTTTTAAAACAATACTGACACTTGGGCTCTACTACTAGATATTCTGATTTAGATGTTCTGGGATGGACCTCATTAATTTCATAAGCCCCCCTGCTTACACTAATTGGCTGGCAGATTTGAGAACCACAGTCTTATCCTGATTACACCTGTCACATAAGATCCACTGAGGGCAAGAAAAGAGACAGGTGTATGGTACCAATCTCTAGAGGGTATCAGTTAATCTACAATGAAGTAGGATTGTTGGTGGCTCACATTCAGAATTCATGTGAAATATATACACTTAAAAAAAATTTTGCAATCTCTGTGCGTATGAAACATCTGACAGATAAATGAGGATTTCCTTCCATAATGTAGAATTCATCCTCTCTCCTTCAAGGTGTTTTGCCAAGGTCTTTAACGGGCAATGTTCCCTTCTACAATTAGGCCAGACAGTGCAGTTCAACATCTACCATAAGATTATTCTAATAAAAGTAGAATTCATTTCCACAGGTTTACTTGTATTATGTCCCAAGAGCAGTAAGCTGACTCTCAGGTAGATGGGGTTTCCAGAAAGATCCTAACAAAATGAGTCAAGGATTTTTTTTTTTTTTTTTTTGGAAAATCTTAATCTCCTTAGAGTCCAGAAATATAGAGACAGAATGTGTGACTTTGGATACTACAAAATGCCTCATGCTTTTGGTAAGCAATAAAGCTAAGGAACACTTCCAAGGTTTATCCACCTATAAAACTTTTGGAGTTCAAAATGAGGACTGAATTTAAATTTGCTTCTCTCTGTTATTTAAGGTGAGGTATGCAGGGAGAAATGAGCGCCTTTCCTTTAACCTGTYATTCATAACAGAAACAAATTCATCCAGTTTCAACAGATGAACCTCTTGGAGTCTCCTCATCCTTTTCATTGTTTATTTATAGCTTATCTCCACTGTTTGCGCAAAAGATGCACCACTGAACTCTTGGCATAGTTCACTCTACAAGTTTATATGAATTCAAATAAGTGCATTGCATGTATAAACATGTATGTGATTTTCTATAATGTGGCTGCAGTTCAAGAACACAGCTAAGTTTATGCCAAATTTCTTATCTTATACTTGGGACTTTTAGAGCACAGATTGCTTCTTTTTTTTTTTCTTCAAAGATCATAGAAGTTGAGTTTTCCTAATTTTTCCATGTTGTATAAACAGTTCCTTATTCCTTAGCAGCATCAAGTTTTGGTTTCCCCCCACAATGGTAATTCTGAATCAATTATTTCAGTAAACCCAGACTTTGCAAAGTAAAATTACTGGTGCATTCACCAGACCGCCAGAAGAGCTCTTACCAGAACATGTTTCATTAGAAGAGTGGGCAGAGAAGCCAGGAATGCAGTTGGAAACACAGAGGCCATTCTTCAGAAAGAACCCTTGGCCACAGAGGTGACATCGGTCTCTGTGGCTACACTGCAAGCAGCCCCGGGGGCAGGCTATCAAAGAGAAGACACAATAAATGAGACACAACCAAGGCACAGACACCCAAGTAGGACCATTAGAGAAATAAAGGGATTGTAACCACAAGAGTTGGAGCACAAGCAACAAATGGCCCCCCACCCATAACAGACTGTGACAAAAGAGCCTCCTAACTGTCTCCTGTAGAGTCTCATGGGAGCTGATACACTCAGAAGGAAATTGAACAGAGAGACACACTCCCACCTCACATAATGCCGTTTAGAAAGACTGCTCATGGATGGCTGTTAATCATGTAGACTTGTATGAGAGGACATTCATAGTGATTAAGAGCATAGGCTGTCTTTAGGTACCATTCCTTCTCTGTCATTTACCAGCTGTGACCTTGGACAAGTTCCTTCAACTCTGCAATTTTGTTTGGCTTTGTTTTAAAAAAGGGAATAATAATATCACCTAATGCAAGTAATAGTTGTAGGATGACATGTTATAATGTGAAATGACTAGAGTCGTGCACTCACAGAAAGGCCTGAGTGTTCTACTGCTGCCACTGCTCACTGTTGTTATTATTATTATTATTATTATTATTATTATTATTAAAGAAGGAGAAGGAGAAGGAGAAGGAGAAGGAGAAGAAGGAGAAGGAGAAGGAGGAGAAGGAGAAGGAGAAGGAGAAGGAGAAGGAGAAGGAGAAGGAGAAGGAGAAGGAGAAGAAGAAGAAGAAGAAGAAGAAGAAGAAGAAGAAGAAGAAGAATTTTAAATGCATGAGGAAAATCAGCTATTTAAAGAACCACCGGATTATTTCTTTGGGTCGTTGATAATCTTCTATGGATTGAGTGATAACTGCCTAATTTTCTGGCTTCCTTTGCTGGGATATTGTTATAGAGTGGTTACACAGTATAAAGGACCTTGACTGGAATCAGAAAACCTGGGTTTAATGTCTGGTTTACATTGCCTTGATTAACAACATTTTTTAGTCTATTTTCTGTTTCCCTGTAAAATAGGATTCATAGTATCTGTCACATTTTATCAAGTCACTGTGAATGTTAAATAAGACGAGACAGATGAAGAAAATTTGGTGAAACATGAAATGTTGTGCGTGGTTAATGGCATTATTGTTAAACCTCAGATATTCTTTCAAGTGGGGCGCATGGTACGAAGGTTTGGTAGAAATGATGAGAATGAACAGAAAATTTTCTTGGATGATCCAGTGGACAAGGAGATTAAGACTTTGAGTTTAACAATAAAAGCTCCAGTATATGTCACCAAATTATTCCTCAGAATCCTAGTCTTCAAGGATATAATCCCAATATCAGGGTTATGGGTGATTTAGTCTACACACTGAAAATTCTTTGTCCGTATCAATATGGCTGATCCACTCTTAATGGATACCTCACTGCAGTTCAATATAAACTTTACATTCCATTAAAAAAATTGGCTTTGTTTCCATAAAGACCTTTAGGGACATATTGATTTGTGCAAGAGAATTATTAAGCTACACTCCTAAATCCTATTTAACCAGCATTCGGCAGATGTGCATAGGAAGCCATCAATTACTTAGGCCAAGTTCCCTGGGTTTTCTTTCTGCCTCTAATTCGGATGCTCCTGGTTGCCTGAGAACCAGCACACATGACTTGATGCTCTTACTTCTTACCAGAGAACTTAGCTTAGACTCAAGTTACCTGAGCATTTGTGCTTTGCATGTTCTGCAAAGTACCCCTTCCCACATTCCTGGACACACTGGGCTTCCAAGAGAAGAAATGGCCCTTCACAGCGGGTACACTCATGGGGCCCCTGGCACTGAAGACAGTGACTATCACAACCTGAAAGACAAAAGTCAAGTCAATAGGAAAGTGTATAGCTTTGCAAAAGGATCTGGGCCCCTATTCAAGGCAGCRCTAGGTATCAGGCAGCAACACCATCCAGTGTACTGGGCAAAGCACCCCATGAGAATTCACGGAGCCACAGTTCTTCTTGTGATCACCATACTTAGCAGTTAGAGGAAAAGTTACTTCACCTCTATGTGCCTCCATGTTCTCCCCTTTAAAATGGGAGTAAAATATTGTCCCACATACCTTACCAGGTAAAGATCAAATTGATGGAAAATTATAGATGAACTCTAAAGTGACTGATGGATATTATCAACTATTGTTAGTATTAACTAGTCCTTAGCTTTCCAAACTGTGTTACTTAAGTGTTGGTCTTTTCCTGATTCATCCAGTCAATCATTCAGGAATGCTCTCAGAAATGGTCTTAGTGTAGTTCTGGTAGGAATTTCAGGGTCTGAGGATTTTGTGGTGTTAAATTGAGGCTGAAGAAGGTACTGGGCAGAGAGAGTTGATGGTGAGGAACGTGGCATACAGAGATTCGAGGGAGGCAGATGGTAGAACAACATAGTCTTTCCGTGTGCTTGAATGCCCAGGTACACAAATCTTCCCATCTGGAGGACAGGATTTCAAATCTTTAAAGAAATCCAAACGTAATGGCCTACCATACAACCCTAAGATTCCCATAGTGGTATCAAATTTTAGCATATGTCACCTAAGAGCATGGGAGAAGGAAAGGGAAATTTTCATAACAAAGACAACTGTTAGAAAAGAAACCCAGAATGGGGTAAAAAGCCAGAAGGGACTCTTGTCACAGGCTTCTCAGAAATCAGCAACCAAAACTTCAATGATCACAGAGTGGGGGGGTCTCCAGACACTCACTCTTGCAGAGGCCCATGTCCCGGTAGAAAGATGGTGAGCACTGCTCCACGCAGGCACCCTCCTGGAGAACGTAGCCATCCATGCACTGCAGGCAGTCAGTTCTCAGAGGACCACTGCATGCATTGCAACTCCAATCACACTCTAGAAAGAAATCCTATGTTAGATTAGCTTCCCCTCTGTCCACCCCCAAGTCCCACAGACTAATTTATGAGGAGGCTGTCTGCAGCTGCAAGAGGTAAAGTGGGAACAAATATGAGATGTCAGATAAGGCGGTTGTAACAAGGCCTGTGCTTGCAGTAGCCCTGATGCTTCTCTGAAGTCTTGTGTTCCTCAATATGTTAGACATGAGCATGTACAAAGAGCACGCCACACTTTGTGCAGAGCCTGCTTATCAGCTGGGCTGCCAGAGAGCCAGGTCTACCTGGATTTGTTTGCCAACTCTTCACACAAAGTCTGCCATGGGGAGTGGGCCAAATTGCCCACAAGCCTAATCTAGACTTTCTCCCAATGCTCCGTGCTCCATAGGTAAAGAGATATCAGAGATCCCACTCAGAATGTATCTGATACTGCCACTGACACCAGTCACGTGACTCTCGCTCTCAAAAATCAGGCATTGACCAACACAACAGAAAGAAACAGTGATRTTAGACTTAAATGGAGATAAAGAAAGTGTCCAGAAAGAAATGGCTTACTGGAAAAGACCTCATTGGGGTCAGCAGAATGGACTTGTTCACATGTTCATTTGCTCAACAAGCACTCGATATGCAATAATGCATATCACTGCACGAGGAGAATGTAACAGTGGGAAGTACAGACCCTGCCTTCAAGGAGCTTGCACCCTAGTGGGGCCAACCTTGGATGATCCGGGGGACTGTTAGAAATACAGATGATCAGTCTCAATGTGAGACATACTGATGTGGATTCAGGGGTGGGGTACAGGAAAATATATTTCTGCTACTATTATTTTTGTTATAACAATTATTATAGTTGTTGCTGTTATTCTTTTTAATGACCTTTGAAATTCTGATACATTTAGAAAACTCATGTTTGACAGCCAGTGTTCTCTCTGGTAAGGAAGCCAGACCTTCATGTGTGGAAGACAGAATGAGGGAAGTGAGATTAAATACCTGGATTTTGAAATAAGTTGTTATTCAAGTCATGGCTTTGCTACTTTTAATCTGTACAATCCTGTATATTTTTACTATTAGACTTGTTGAGCCTTAGTAAAACAAGAACAAATGTAGTGCCCRTTACATAAGGTTTTCGTGAAAATTAGCAAATTAATGAAGGTAAAGAATATAGATGGGGTGTAACTCAATGGTGAAGTGAGTGCTTAGTATGCACAGCTCTGGGTTCAATCCCAACAAAATCAATCAATCAATAATCAATAACATACCACAGTGTCTGGCATATAGCAACAGCTCAGTGAGTGTTTGCTGTTAAAATATTTTTCTTAGAGAACTTATCTCTACTCAAGACTGTCTTAATCCCACTTTCCCCACCCTGCTAAGAAGCTAGGGAAACCTCTCATTAGTCACCTTTTCTCTATCTTGATGCACTATTTCAAAGTCTCCAAGAAACAGGTAAATGTGCAAGACAGTACACATGCTACCAAGAAGATTTATAAAGTTAATCTCACTCATTTATTTAGCTGAATGGATCCTGAGGGAAAAAGACTAAAACAAGAGACTCACAACTGCCAGTATAGTTATGAAATCATCTACAGCAGGGAGGCTTTGTGATAATCTTATTTTTCACCACATACTGACAGCCCCTGGTTAGAAGAAAAAAATAAAAAAATAAAAGGAAAGCTTCTGTGGTCTTGAGCCCAGCAGACCACCTAAGTTGACAACCAAGTAGAATTTCTTGGACTGGAAAGTGTGCAATTTTGCAGAGCCTTAAAGCATCCCAAGTTTACTTGACAGATGTTTGACCTCCATATCTGAGCTCTAGTTTCTCTGCCAGAGCCAAAGGGATAGAGGGAAACATGGAAAGAGGCTGGAATGAAGAGATGAAATGGAACAGAATCAAGTAAAATCTGCTCTTAACTCTATCTTTCCCCTTATGCACTGCTGTTCAAAAACCACAAGGCCCASGAAATTCCAACTACTGAAGAACAAGGAAAACAGGCACCTGGCATTTGACATTGTCATGTTAAACATTCCTCAAGGACAACAACTCTGTCTTCACTCATTTGACTGTGTTAAGTGAAGGTGGACAAATCAGATACAACTCCTGATCTCATTAAGCTTAGAGTCTAGCAATCTGGAACTGTAAATAAAAATACCTACAAGGCCCTTTGAAATAGGCCTGGCATGATAGACTATGGGATGGTGGGGACTGTGGTAAATTGAGCAGTTGATGCTCCATCCAGTGGGGACCACAGCAACACAGTCAACCTATTGTTGCACTGTGYAGTAAAGCAAATCAAGTATTGCCAGATCTTCCTATTTTTTTTTCTCCAAAAGAAACTGAAAATCTCAAATTCTTTTTGTATGTGAAAACTTCTAGCTAGTTAAGAGGCAAATAACCAAAGATTTTTAAATTTCAGAACATTAGGTGGGCCACACAAAACATGTCTATGGGTCAAATATAACCTGAGCATTTTTATTTTGCTACCTCTGGTCTAGTTACCAATATGTGGAACAACGTCTAGTTCATAGTGGGTGCTCAAAAAATTGGCTTAGAAAACAYATCAATGAGGGAGTAGATGAATTCACTCGTACATTAATTCTTGCTATCGTCAGAGAAAGTCAAAATGAYTGATGAAGGCATTTTCCCAATGTGGGGCACGTGGCCTTTATAGTAAAGAGGTATCATGGAGTAAAAGACTCCTTAACACAATTCAGGAAGAGCTTTACCTCTGCATGTCTTGGTGGAGATGTCAAGATAGTACTGTGGGGCACAGCTCTCATACTGGCAGTCCCCATAGAGCAGGACCTTGCTTGGATCTCGGCAGGAGGTACAGCTGGCCTGTGAATCACAGCTCCAGCAATGTGTGTCGCATGCTGAGCAGACAGGAAAAGAAAATGACCAGAGGATGATTACAATTGCAAATAGGGACACATTGATCAACACTAGACACATGCTGCAGAGGGACAAAGCCCTGCCCCAACCTGTTCTTTAATTATGGCTCAGAACCCTCCACTGTGATCAATAGACACAGAAAATATTAGTTTTATTTTCCAAATTACAGAAGGTACTCTTGTTTTCCTCAAAGATAAATTATAAACTCAAAGATGGAAATCCCACATCCAAATTGTCCTGTGATTCAGCCACAAAATTTATACTTACCCTAAGATCTCTAGAATTATAGTCCCGAGTTTTATTTGAACTTGACTTCTTAAGGAATCAAGTCCCCTGTAGCTCATGATGTAGATTGTGTGTGTGTGTGTGTGTGTGTGTGTGTGTGTGTGTGTGTGGCGGGGGAGGGGGGGTAGGCCAAGATTAAAATTAGGCACCAACTTAATTGTGAAGCTTGTAAAATCCCATATTTTTGGATTTAAAGGTTACTCAGCTTATTGGTTTGCCAAAAGGTAATTCTCAGCAGCCAGTCAGGCGATTCAGGCATTCAGGGATGATTCCCAATCTGGTCATGCTTTTGCATTCTCTCATTTCTCTATCTACTCAGTTTTTCTTGCTGGAAAACTTAAGAGTCTATCCTGATATCTTCCTTCCTTCACTCCTAATCCAGTCACTCACTGGATTCTATTTATTCAAACTCTCCAATATAACTCTGAGGACWTTTTGCTTTCCTCCATATCCACAAATGCCAATATAGCCAAGCCATCATCATCGCTTGCTTAATTGCTATCACAGCCTCCTAACTTATTTTACTCTTGCAATCTCATTTCCAAGCATTTACCAGAGTGACTTTTTCATTCTTACTACTTAGGTTTCAAAGTACACTTTCCCCTAAAACCCAGTCTTTCCTCAATCCTGGAAAATTTCTAACCATCATCTGTACGAATATTTTTCCTCCACCCTCCCTTCATTCTCTCYTCCTGGAAAGCTTAACACACATTTGAATCCTCTTACTATAATCTCCAAGTCTCATCTCTTTAACTCTTTATCCATCCTCTTTCTCTCTCCTCCCAGAAATCCTTTGTGGAATCTCCATTTTAGAACAGGTCTCCCAGGTACATGCTCTGACAGCACCCAGACATTTCTTTCCTGCCTTGGGTAACAATTTTCACTGAGGTGATTATTTGTTTAACATGTGTACCCTTTAGGCTGTAGACTTGGAATGCAAAGATCAGGTGTGTTATGTTCCTTACAATATTCCCCAGTATCTAGCTGGTGATCTGTCACATTGTAGGTGTTCAATAAACACTTACTACAGAAATGAAAAAATCCAAATGTTGTAATATGTAAGCACACCCACCACACTAAYACATGCACAAGCACCACCATCTCTGCCTCATTCTGAAATTGACTCTGAATACATGTCAGAGGAAAAGAGTACAGAGGGACCTGGTGAGTGAAATGTAGGTCTAAAGGAATCAAAGTGTTCTTCTGGTTGTACATGATGTAGAATGACACCAGTAATGTAGTCRTATATGCACATGGGGTAATAATGTCTGATTCATTCTATTATCTTTCCTACCCGGACACCCCCTCCCTTACCTTCATTCCTCTCTGCCTATTCCAAAGTACTTCTATTCTTCCCTACCCTCTCCCCTGTTGTGAATTAGCATCTGCATATCAGAGAAAACATTCAGCCTTTGTTTTTTTGGGATTGGCTTATTTTGCTTAGCATGCATTTACCTGCAAACACCATAATTTCATTCCTCTTTGAGGCTGAATAATACACCATTGTGTATATATACCACATTTTCTTTATCCAKTCATCTGTTGAAGGGCACCTAGGTTGGTTCCATGGTTTAGCTATTGTAAGTTAAGTTGCTATAAACATTGATATGGCTGTGTCATATGCTGATTTAAAGTCCTTTGCATATAAAGCAAAGAGTGGGATAGCTGAGTCAAATGGTGGTTCCATTTCAAGTTTTCTARGGAATCACCATACTGCTTTCCATAATGGTTGCACCAATTTGCAGCCCCACCAACAATGTCAGGGTATACCTTTTCCCCACATCCTCGCCAACATTTACCGTTGTTTGTATTCTTGATAATTGTCATTCTGACTGGAGTGAGATGAAATCTTAGAGTCTTTTTGATTTGCATTTCTCTAATTGCTAGAGATGTCGAACATTTTTTCATATATTTGTTGATTGATTGACCTTCTGAGAAGTGTCTGTTCAGTTCCTTGGCCATTTATTGATTTGGGTTATTTGGGTTTTTTTGGTTATTAAGTTTTTTGAGTTCTTTATACTTCCTGGAGATTAATGCTCTATCTGAGGTGCCTTAGGTAAAGATTTTTTCCCATTCTGTAGGCTCTCTATTCACATTATTGATTRTTTCCTTTGCTGAGAAGAAGCTTTCTAGTTTTAATCAATCACATTTAGTGATTCTTGATTTTACTTCTTGAGCTTTAGGAGTCTTGTCAAAGAAATCAGATCCTAAGCTGACATGGTGAAGATCTGAGCCTACTTTTCTCCTATTAGGCACGGGGGTCTCTGTTCTAGTGCTGAAGTCTTTGATCCACACTGAATTGAGTTTCATGCAAGGTGAGAGATAGGGTTTAATTTCATTTTGTTACATATGGATTTCCAGTTTTCCCAGCACTGTTTGGTGAAGAGCCTATCTTTTCCCCAGTGAATGTTTCTGGTGCCTTTGTCTAGTACAAGCTAACTATATTTATGTGGGTTTGTCTCTGTGTCTTTTATTCTGTACCACCATCGGTCTACATGTCTATTTTGGTGCCATACCATGCCATTTTTGTTACTATGGCTCTGTAGTACAGTGATGCCTCCTGCTTCATTCTTTCTTTCTTTATTTATTATTTTAAAAATTTTTTTGGTTGTTAATGGACCTTTATTTTGTTCACTTATTTATATGTGGTGCTGAGAATCAAACCCAGTGCCTCACACATGCCAGGCAAGTATGTTACCACTAAGCCACAGCCACAGTCCCCATTTATTTATTTTTGATTGGTGCTTTCTACATATACATAAAGGTGAAATTCCCTGTAGTACACCATGTGATTTGTTAAATTCAGTCCACATTTCCTTCCCTTTCTAGTTCCTTCTTCCTCCCTCTTGATCTCCTTCTACTGCACTGATCTTCCCTATAACTTTATGATATCTGTTTCCTCCTCCTTCTTTCCGTTATTTTGTTCTAGCTTCCAAATATGAAASCAAACATTTGACCCTTGATTTTCTGACTGGCTTATGTGATGTTTACTTGATGTGATGTTCTCCATTTCCAACCATTTATCAGCCAACACCATAGTTTCATTCTTTTTTATGGCTGCATAATACTTCGTTGTGTATATATATACCATATTTTCTTTGTCCGTTTTTCTATTGACAGTCATCCAAACTGATTCCATGACTTAGCAATTTTGACTTGTGCTACTATCAATATTGAAGCAGCTGTATGGCTCTATTAAGCTGATTTTATTTCTTTTGGATAAATATCAGGGAGTGATGGGATGGGTGGGCCAAATGGTGGTTCCATTCCTAGTATTTTGAGGAATCTTCATAGTTTTCCAGAGTGCTTGTACTAATTTGCAGTCCCATACAATGTATGAGTGTACCTTTCCTTCCACATCCTTGCCAGCATTTGTTATTATTGGTATTCTTGATCATTGCCATTTATGACTGAATGAGAGAAAATCTCAGTGTAGTTTTGATTTGTATTTTCTTGATTGCTAAGGATATTGAACATTTTTCATATATCRTTTGACCATCTGTGTTTTTTCTTTTGAGAASTGTCTGGTTCTTTTGCCCATTCATTGACTGAGTTTTTGTTTGTTTGTTTGTTTGTTTTTCGGTGCTAAGTTTTTTTGAGTTCCTTATATAGTCTGGATATTAATCTCCTGTCAGAGAAGCAGATGGCAAAGACTTACCCCCATTCTTAATCATTTCCTTTGCTGTGCAGAAGCTTTTTTTTAATTTGAAGACATTCCACTATTGATTCCTGGTTTTATTTCTTGAGTTTTAAGGAACTTATTAAGGAAGCCAGTGCCTGTACCAATATGGTGGAGTGTTGACTCTGTTTTCTTCTAGCATTTGCAAAGTTTCTGGTCCTTGATTCAGTTTAATTTGACTTTTGTGCAGGGTGAGAGATAAGGATCTGGTTTCAATCTTCATATGAATATCCAGTTTTCCCTACATCATTTGTTAAAAAGGCTGTCTTSTCTCCAACATGTTTTTGGCTCTCTTGTCAAGGATCAAATGGTTGTCAGTATGTTGGTTTAYCACAGTGTCTTCTGCACTATTCCACTGTTCTTCATGTCTACTTTGATTGGGCAAAGTATTTGATGAAGATCCCAAAGATAAACTTGTGAATACAAAAATGAAGTGGTACCTAGTAGCTGTAGGTGCATTTGAAGATGGTTGAAATGCATACTCCAAAAGTAAATCTTTGTAATTGGTAAAAGAAATGTCCCTAAATTAAAGATGGCCACCCACTTCTGCTTGAACACTCTGCTGGCTCCAGTTCTGTCTGGAGCAATATCCAAGTGGGAAATGACAGTTAATTAAACCTCTGAAGGTTAACTAAACCTCTGAAGGTTAACTGTGTAAATGAGGGATTGTTCTCTGTTGCTCCATGGAGGGCTGTGAAAAGCCATCTTTATCTTTTCATGGGGTGCAATGTTTGATGGGGTAATTCTAGAGTCCTTGAGCTCCAAAGCACTACAGTTTTAAGGACTGAGAACCTTTTTTTTTATTATTGCTTTTAATATATATATATATATATATATATATATATATATATATATATATATTTTTAGTAGTTCATGGACCTTTATTTTATTCACTTATTTATATGTGGTGCTGAGAATCAAACCCAGAGCCTCACACATGTGAGGCAAGCGCTCTACCTCTGAGCCACAACCCCAGYCCCTTATTATTGCTTTTTTATAGTTTCTATCTCAACCTTGTCACCCTTAAAACTTTAGAGCTCAGTTAACAATGCACACTTTCTAAAGATTTCTGCAACTGAAATCTAGAAAGCTCTCCAGTCCTTACTTTCTTTAATAATATAGTTATCACTGCTTCACACAATTCTGATTACATTTCCTTAAAAGCCCTTTACTACACAATTTCTAAAATTGTCAGGGCCTATAATTGTCTATAATGGGGAGCATTACAAAGGAGCATTGTTGACTTCTAATTTTTTTTTACATAATAGAAACTCAAATATCTCAATTTGGGGCTTACTTGATCCRATCTTAGAAAGGGTGAAACTTAAGGACTAAAGTTAGGAGGTTCTTAATTCAACTGAAATAGTCTATGAAATCCTATTTACATGGTAGCATAAGCAAATGTGTTTATGCAGCGGCCACCCTGCAGGAAGGAAAACACTTCCCCAAAGAGAAATATTTTAATGCAATGCATTTTTGTCACCTATACTTCATACAAGGGATTCTATTTTTTCTCTCGAACTTCTGTTTCTGTGAGTCTGTTGCTGGGAAGATCCTCATAAATCTAAGTCACCATTTCTCCACCAACACGCTCTTGCTCTTGGATAGAAAGCACAAGTATTTTATTCCTGTCTCCTGCATTATAGAATCTACAGATTCCAGCGGATGGTTGATATATAACAAGCAAAGTTTTTGTTTCAAAAGTAAAGAAATCTTCTCATTGTTTGAAAAAGAGTTCTATCTCTGGTATCTCAACAGRTGATGATGCAAAAGTGTGAGTTTCATACATAACTTCATTTCAAATGCAAATGCACGCAAGCATCTAAATAAACTAACATTGGTATTTATCCTTCTATCTCTATCCATATAAATAACTTTATTAAATTATTTGCCTCATYCCAGATGGTGTTGATAATGGTGATGATGACCATGACAAACAGTAACAACAATAGTTAGTCTGCATAGATCTGGTTCCCTGCTGGGGTCTGTGTTAACTGCAACAACATTGGAGTGTAGATACTGTTCAAATCCCCTTTTCACAGAAAAAGAAACTAAGGAACTACAATTAACTGACTTGTCACAGAGTGGGCATTTAGGATTTGAACTTTCGTCTCCTGATTCCAGAGCCCGCTCTCCTAGCTACTAGTCTACACTGCCTTTAATATGGTACTTCCCAGAACATGAAATTGAAATATCACCACTGTATTTGTTCACTGTCATTTTCAAAAGTATAACAATTTTTTAAAATGACACTTTAGTGATTGAAATAAAGTAAGCTGCCCTGGCCTATCACAAATGTTCCTTCATCTGTGAAGGATTTCCTAATTTTTTTCCCCATCCAGATTTGCCCTTTCCCTAATTTATTCTAACTCTTAGTTTGTTCTTTGTCCTCTTTGAATCAAAGTAATTAATCATATTCTAACTTATTTAGGATATAAGACATGCACATGAGTAGCTTTTATGCAAGATAAAATAACTATTTGGGCAGAAATGGAATGTTTTGTAACACATCGTCAATATTCAATAAATACACGTAGAAGACAAATTAAATCTAGACTCGTGCTCAATCCACGGACTGTGAATCAGAGTGAGCTCCATTCTCTGCCCAGGATCAAACAACTGGATTTATGGGAGAAACCATAAAGAGGAGATAGACTAGCATTTTTATTTTTCTAATGAGGTAACCGAAAAAGAGAAGTAACCTGCCTAAAATCACGTAGCTGATACTCAGAGAGGACAGTGCTTTCAGTGAGACTAAAATCTGAGTTATAGTCTTCTAAGAGTATCCATGTTGCCTTTTAGATGAGCTTTTTTCCTTTTAGAAAAATGAAGGCTGCCAGGAGAGAAGATGGTAGTAGGAACCTCACAATTTCTTCTCATGGGCCCAGAAGGGTAGGAGAGGGGAGAAGGTTCATTTAAAACACCTACGCTGGCAAGCATGGTTGTCATCGAGATGGTGCCCAGGGAAGCAAGTGGTGCTGCAGGTGCCAATGTGGGTCAGAACGAGGTTGGCGTCACACGAGGAGCAAGAGAAAGGTCCTCCGCCCTGGCAGGTTCTGCAGGACGAGTGGCATTCTGCAGAGAAACAAACAGAAACCATGAAGCCAGGCTGACTTCCAAGGCAGCATTGCAAGTGCTGGTTATAACAAGGCCCCCACTTGGAGCACATTCGCTGGTCTGGCTCACAGTCCATGCACATATGCTCCTCTCTTCTTCAGGAAGCTCAAGCCCTCTCAGCAACTGCCCCCAGGAGAACCTCCTGAGTCAGCACTTACTCACTTTTACAAGCTCCCCTCTCTGYGTAGTATCCAGAAGGGCAGTCAGGAACACAGTGGTCCCCTAGCAGCAGGTAKCGGGCATTCTGGCACCTCAGGCAGATGCTCCCAGTGTCCTGGAGATCAGCTACACAGTGCTGGCACAGGGGATGGCAGTCTGGAGAGGGCAGGGAACAGAGAGAAGGCAGGGRTACTCATGAGTACAGCCTAATCACTACACTGGAGGGCAGAGGGATTTCAATTTCCAGCACTGCAGYACAGAGAGCCGGAGAGTAGCCCAAAGGCAGCGTATGTCAGTAAAGCAGAAGCTTGGGACCTGTACARATTGTGTGTTTGAGGTTTTTAGCAAATGGCTAGGCCCAGCACAGCAATTGCGTTTTCATCTCTTTCCAATTGAATGACCTTCAAGTACCAGGGAACATGTGATAGATACTTGCTGGGGGTGTAGACAGAACTGTCAGACCAACAGAAACAGCAGGCTCGGTACGCTCAACATCTCCCCTAAGGGCTGCATGCACTTGAGTATGTCCCCACTCTGTTCCCAGTCTGTGCTCCTGGTCATAGTGGGCTCCTGCACTTGGTCTTCCAGAGAGWGCATACCAGTCTCAGCCTTTGGGATGGGGGCAAGGCAGGTAGTACATAATGGACTGAGTCACTGGAAATTTTTAGTCTTTAGCTAGGTATAAAGTTATAAAGAAGGGTTGGGAGTTGAAAAAAAATCACTTTTATGACCTGATACATGATTCATAGCCTCTCTGTCAGGCCAGCTGTGATTAAAACTATAAAACAAATTATCTTGTGCAGCCAGCACTCTCTTGTTCTTGCTCATATAATAGTCATCCTCTAATAAAGAACTCGATTGTGCTCAGCTTTCATSGTGGGTGAAAATGTCCTCTGCTCTGCTTTCAAGTGGTGATTACCCTCTGAGTCTCGTTTACCATCCTTYATCCCAAAGGCAGAAGAAAACCCACAAATTCTGAATTATGCGCCTAAATGAAAAAGGAATAAAGATTTAGGAAAAGAAAAGTCAGAGTTCAGGATACAGAGCCTTCCCACCTTCCCGTGCAGGATGCAAAGAGCTTGCACTTGCTAATGCCCACCCAGGACCCAGAGTGTCACGAGCCAGCCATGGGCTGTGTGTGTGTGAGCTATGCGCATTTGAGCATATGAGGGGACTGGCCTGACATTACTGCCTGACGGAGCTGTRCGACATATGTGTGCYTTTCCTCTCACTCTGCCTATGATTCCACCCAGCACCTGAGATGGGTATGKCTTTCCAAGATGTCAGTCAATCTGCTGACCACAAGACATCACCAAGCAAGACTCCACCCTCCACCCTTCGAAACCCAATCCCTTGCCTTATTTGGGTAGAACTTTCTCGAATGTATTTTTCCCAATAAATAGTAGTTTTCGGGTGTGCCTGCTCTCTCTCTCGCTCCTTCCAGTGCTAGAGCTGACCCTTAGGTCACCGAGCCATCCTACCTGAGAAACTTATGTTCCTATGCTGTGTGGTTTCTTCACTATTTTCTTAGTTATTGATACAGACAGCTCCTTTGAACCCAGTTCCTATTGGTAGCACGGCCAGCTGGCAATACCAGAGGGTCCTGTTTCACCTCAAGGCCTTGGAGAGAGACACTGTGATTTTCAGCTAGATTTTCACCAAAAAAAATCCATGTCAGTAAAACAGATCACCTGCCCTGAGCCCTGTTGAAAACCAGTCTTTCTACCTGTACTCTTGGTGACACTTTCTCAACTACTAACCATCTAGACACATTTTCTGTACAATTCCAGCTCTCGCCCCCATCCCAGTGCCCACTTGTCCACAGGAGAACCCTTTCCCCAGAAACCCTTAAAGCCAGCCCAGAAGTTGAGCCAAGTGTTCCCCTGAAAAACAAGGACTCTCAATAGCACACAAACCAACAGCCCCTGACCTTTCGCTGAACCTTGGGTGTTTCAAATTACAAGCAGCTTTTTTGCCCATATCAGAAACAATTCATGATATCATAAGAACCAAATTAATCCTCATTATAGCTCTTCAGTAAATTATAAAGGAAATAATGACCGGATCCAGGGACATGTGAGAAGGGGGCTCTTCCCCTGCCTGGTACGTGGTTTCTACACATGCCAAGCTCTCTGTTCTTCTCTGTGTCTTCCTCCCAGAGCAGCAGCACAATCCTAGGTGTGCAAGGGGAAGTTCAAAAGCTCTGGGAAGTGAAGGTGAGAGTGTTTCATGATTACCTGGGAGAGTGGGGAAGTGCTAGGATGGAAATCTCCGAAACACTACCAGAGTCAAGGCTTTTTTATTTGAAAAGCTTTGGCCTCGTCCTCTTCAAACAAGCATGAATAGAGCTTTCTTGGCTCAGGCATGCAGCAACAAGATCTGCAGGTGTTTCGCTGCCTAACAACTAGCTGCATCTAACTGAAGCTCTCTCTAGTGTGCAATTAGAGAAATTWAAAAAAGAATAATCACCAAGGGGACATTTCGAAGAGAAAGTAAGCAAATCTCTGTAGTGTTTTGTGGGTATAATAAATAGATATTTATGGGTCTGCCTGATCCTGGGGCTCTCTAGAAGCTGCTGAAATGAGGAGTGTGATGTGTATTAATTACTTCTGAAGGAAGCGAGAATCGGGTGGGTCCTCCTCCCCACTCTCCCAGCTACTTCACTCAATTAGCACCTTCAATTCATTCCTTCCAACCTTAACAGCTATCTTTTCCCATTTTTTATTTCATTTTCTTCCATGTCTCAGGATTCCTCCATCTACATTTTTTGTGTGTGTGAACCCAGGGGCACTTAACCACTGAGCCACAATGTCAGCCCTTTTTAACATTTTATTTTGAGACAGGATCTTGTTAAGTTGCTGAGGCTGGCTTTGAACTTGTGAACCTCCTGCCTCAGGCTCCCAAGCCATTGGGATTACAGCCATGCACCACCACACCCAGCCCTGCATCTGCATTCTTGATCCAATTTTTCAACTTTATTCCACTTTTACTCCCCCTTGCTTGCTTTTTCCTCAACAAACATGCTCTGCATTTCTTCCTGCCCCAGAACTTTTTGCTCTGCATACCCTGTCTCCTGCCTTCCTAACTCCCACTTCATTGTTACCTGCCTTTGGCCTCCAGAGTTCCAGCCTTCCTCAGCAAAATCCCTGTATCCTCTCCTAGCACATTTTACCCTGGTGATCATCTTGCGCTGAGTCCTCTTTCTCTACCTCTGACTGCCTGATGAATGTAGGGATTTCTCACAACCCTCAACTTCTATGCTAACTGAGTCTCCAGATGTATTTAACCAAAAATGCCTGGATTTAGGTGTAGAGCTTCCAGAAGCTAGTAGAAACAGCTCAAGAACTGTGGAGACCGAAACGACTTGGGGTCTCCACCTCCTTCTATGGCTCCCTGTCATAAGAAGACATCCATCAATCCCCTGACATATCACATTGCATGATAGAGTGAGTACCCAGAGGCAAAGGAGAAATCAATAAATGATGTCTGAAAATATAAAACCATGAACTGCAGCTGCCCAAAGCGTCACATTAATCCAAATTAGTTTACAGTTCCAACTTACATGGGAGATCATAACTACTTGAGTTTGGAAAGTTGAACCCTCTCTTTTTGTTCGATATCTGTAGGCATTCTGTGATTTAAAAAGTCATACCGAACACCAGATCTTCTAAATAAATTCACTCCGAAGCAACAACCTGAGTGGGTACTGCTTTCATCCACTCACGCAAACCTCCCTTCCTAATCCTGTCATACACAAGCCCTCCATGGAAGACCACTTAAATAAATATGCTTTGGAATCCTGTTCCAAAGGCTGGTTGACTGATTTTTATTAAACCAAGCCAAAAGGAGCAATAAATTCCTAAAACCTAGAAAACACCTTTGTCTTCAGAGGCTCGAAGTCAAAATCTCTTTGTTGGAAAGAATTCCTTGGGAGATCTCAAAATGAGTAATGACTCACAGGAAAAGAAGCCAGAAATCAGAGCAACAAGAGCTCGAGGATTAATACCAGTGTTCTGACTTACAACCAGAAAAGTACCGTTCCCTGGGGCAACTCCAGAACTCAGGCATGACAGGCTACAAGTGGCCAGTCCCTTGGGTACCACCTGYGAGCAGGATTCTGGCTCCAGCCTGGGCCACTGTGATCTACAGAGGAAAACTGAGCAGAGTTCAAACAGGGATCTTGGGTTAGTATTTTTCTGACTGTAAAGTAGTCCATGGAAGAAAATAGAAAAAAATCTTTACACATTATAAATAAGCATGAAAATCACCCTAGGAATGCCTTTCAGAGCCAGTAACTACTAACATTGGCACTTTTTCTTTTAGTTTTTTCTCTACATATTTTACATATACAGATTTTCACACTGGTGAGATTATATTAAATGTGAGCATGTAGCTCTTTTTTTATATAMTCAATACCCATTTTTATATACTCAATATACTCACTAGCATTTCTACCTATCTTTAGAGACTCTTTGTAAACAGGACCTACTTGATATTTCAGCATCGAGGAAACAACCAAAAATGCTTTTTTTTTCTTATAGTTTGAACATTTACTTCCAATTTGTCTTCAATTTCTAATTAAGTCTATGGTAAAATCTTTGTGCATAAATCTTTGTCTGCACTCCACATTATTTCCTAAAGGACAATGTTGAAATAGTGTAATTCACAGTATCATTATAGTTTATTTACATTTACTGAGTTCTGAATACATATTAAGCACTCTACTAATTACTATAAGTGCATAATCTTATCTGAAGAGATGAAGTAGACAATCTCATCATTCCTACTTTACAAATGAGAAACTGAGGCTCTGGGAGTTTAAAAGTCCCTTGCTCATATGTCACATCCAGATCAACTCTGGTGTATATACTTTTAACCACCATGGGAATGAAAAACAAGACAAAATTCTTAATATGTGTCAAAAAAATTCTTTCCAGAAAGTTTGTATCAATTTATATTTCCCAGAACCATTTATGAGACTGTTTCATCATACCTTCAACAGAACCAAAAAATTTAAAATAGTAAAACCAATCTTGACTAATTTGGTTGGTGATAATTGGTGTTATGTTGTTTTTATTTGTGTGTGTTTTTTTAAGTGAGGATGAGCATTTAAAAAGTCTTTTTCTTTCAAACTACGATATTGAGATTACTACTTT